TTTTGACTCCTCAGGACGAATGACCCTGTTTAGAAGGCAAAAGTCGGATTAGCATATGAATGGTTTTGATTTAATAATGCATGCCTAGTGGCTCTCAAGGCTAGTTGGGGTACTATCATTACAGCAGGAACTAGGCAGAAAATATAATACTTGGAAAGTTGCTGAATGAAAATGTCAATCTCTCATTCTGGGGCTCTACGTAAATTCAGTATTATACTTCTAACATGGGTAGAACTCTGCTAGTCAAAATGGTCCATTATTAGTAAATTATCTTTACATCTTTGACTCTTGCTAGTCATTTTATGTACTGCTCTATAGCCTTTAGTTTGTTTTCTTAGCCTGAAAACTAAAGTTTTGGATTTGCTCAAGTGGAAAGCTTTTCTACCAGCCTTCTGCAAACAGGTTTACTGAAACAGGTTTACCATTTATTGAAAACGGATTTACTCGCTGGCTAGAGATATTTCCAAGAATACCTTGTGCAGGTCCTGGTACAACCTTATAACAAGAAGAACTTGACTAACACACCAAGAGTGCATGGAGGAGGGAAGAACCTGCCTCAAACATGTTCAGCTCTTGAACTGTGACTGTGCTTCCTGTTACTTCTTCATCCTAACAGGCTATATTGCACTTGGCAGTAAAAGCTTCTCTTGTCCTCTCCTGGCCTTGCAGATTCTGATTTGAGGTTAATATTTACATGCAATAACTCTTTAAGCTGAATCATGTACTTGCAGGGACAAAGAAGGAGTGCAAGCTGTGAAAAGGACAAAGTATTACACTTCTGAGCAGATGTTTAGCTTATCTGCCTCTGACTTTTTGGGTGTCCCTAACCTCTTCTCAGATAATTTCTCATCAACATTGAGACTTTTATCTTTGTCTGCTGAGGGGAAAAAAGCCTGTCTGTTGAGGTTACTGTTCAGTCCTTAATCCCATGACAGACTACAGCCATAATTAAGATTCTCAATTCCCTTGTGCACAGGACAAAAAAGTAATCATTAAGGGTATCTACTGTGTTGCCACCCCTTGCTCAAATAGAGGATATCTGTAAAAGCATCGTTAAGGGAAACTAAATGTTGCTCAACAAAATTGTATGTCATGTTCTTCCGAGTCTTGCTAAGAAACAGGTATTGCAAGGATGACTTATCATTACTGACAGCTCTCCTTATGGAGAGTTCAGAGAAGACACCAAAAGCATAGTATGCAAAAAGTCCTAAGACTGGCTTTCCTAGGGTAGGCATGGAAATAAAGTGCAGTGCTTGAACTGAGATTAACCTGGCTTGAGGCAGTGTGTAACAGTCATGCTTCAAGGACCATGTGTTAAGGGCCTAACATGGTCTTTCCTAAGGAGTGATCCCCTCACTCTTCAAAGAGGAGTCCCCGTAGGAAAGCAGGAAGATTCTAATAGTGGTCTCTTAACAAGCCCTTTATGAAGTAAACTGAAAAGTGGGTAAGAAAAATGTATATGGTCTATACCCACTGATACAGCCATGAGTTTGGGGCAATTCTCACAAGGTGGCAGCATTTGTAAACTTGTAGTCTTTGGACTAAACAGTGCATTTAGCATAGCAGTTAAGATGGATCATACAGTTGCATGGTGAGTAATTCAGGTGTGGTGATGCACAATGGAGCAATGGAGCAGATTCAAAGTGCTTTAATTCAACAGTGCTGACATAATTGCTGTGGGAATGATCTTGTTCTTTACTGTGGCAATATGTCTGAAGGCACGATGGTCCTTGTATCCTTGCTTAAAAGCACATGCCTCTCTAATCCTCTCATATTTGCTGGCTGACTCTTGAGATGAATTCAAAATTGAAGTGTAATAGAATAATTCTAGTCTTGTTGCTTTATACCTGCAGCTGGAGCAAGGAAATACTAAGAGACTGAGTACTTTGAAAGGAAGTCTCCAAGCAACAGCAATATCTACAAACAGAAGATTTTAACTTCATTTTAGTTACTTGTATGTAGAGTACACCAGAACCTTCCATTGAGACAAGACAAACTGAAGTGTGCTTCAGACCTCACTAAGCTTTAACTTTAGGTCTGAAGCACAGAATCCATATTTAGTTGTGGTTGAGACTCCTTTATGGTCAGCAGACTAGAATACTGCTAGCTTAAACTATGTAATGTTGCCCTCCCTAATCCAGTAAAACTTTAAAGTAAAGCCTGAGGAAGTTTTGTGCTAGTCTTGTGACTTAACTCACGTGTCAAGAAGTAGTTATTTAAAATACGAATAGATATTAAGGTCACCTTTTGCTATTCTTTAGTTTCACTAATTCTCTTGCTCCTGAGATGATTCTCAAAGGCATTGAGTTCTCCAGAGGTACAACAAATAACTGTCATCTACTGTGAACTCTCACCAGGGGAGATGAGCTGTGCCAGAACTCAAATATGAGAGTATTTTTAAACTGTAAACTGGTCAGAAGGCCCTCACTAATCTAAAATTGAATTGCTAACACTGAAAATAACCTTCATAGTCAGACAAGGTATTTGCAAGGTTTCAGCCAGACTTGTGTGTAATCCTGCTCATCTTCTTCCACCTTAGGGTATTTTGTTGTGTGGTTCTAAGTAAGTGGTCTGGCTTCCCTAGGAAGGAGGTAGATGGCAATGATGACTAGAGATGCCTAGAGCTTAAAGATGGCAGCTGCCCATATGGATATCTACCACCTTACAGGTACCAAAGTAAGGTCTTACTTGTGCATATTTGCTGCTTCCTAAGTTATTTACTTGTTAATACCTCTTAACTTTACTTCAACATGAGATACTGTAGTTGTGGAACACCAGAGCTGGGTGTAGCTCTACTAATTAAATTGAGGAAGCAGGATCACTTGCAGGCAGGACTCATTGCCTTGAGATTGTTGTTTCTTCTTTTACAGCATAGAGCTGAGCAGAATATCCTAGAGCTGTAACTCAGCCTCTTGACAGTACGTCCTAGCTCTGTTTCTTCTGGGACCTTTTCTTCTATTCTCTAAACAGTAATCTTCCAAATGGGGTGAGTGGTTAACTACTACTCCAACCTTAACTCTCTTTCCTTTATCTCTGTTTCTAGGTGGGACTAGATAAACCTAGGGAGAGGCTCCTTATGCTTGTGTCTAATGGACATTTCCACCCAAAACTATACTACCAGGCAGGCTAGTCTAGTTTTAGAGTAGTCTTCATTTTACCTGATTTTACCTGATTAAAATGCAGTTTTCAACAGGCCCAATCCGTTTTAGCACTGTTGCAAGTATCCTGCAAAATCTCTGTCAGGTCTATTAAGCCCCTTGATCCTTTGTCAGACTGGTCACTCAAGCCAGTCTTTCAGTGACAACATTTCTTAAATGACCATGGCTTGCTATATAAACTCTTCCTCTGACACCTATTACTACTCAGAACCACTTGAAACTTTCACAGCAACACCTTTGTTCCCTTGCATCAAATGTACCCTAGGTGTGACCAGATAAGTTGCCTACAGAGAAGAAGAGGTATAGGTGACAGGTCTTGGCCATATGAGTGCTTTTATCTCTGTTGATTTACTTGAGCAATGCTAATTGCAATTCACAAACCATCTGTTAAGCAGCTAGATCTAATTTTTCTTTTATTAACAGCTCGTTCCCTTAAGGCCTCTCTCCTGGTTAAATGGAAATGGAGGCTTTCAGAATGAAATTCTCTGTTTACCGAATCAGAATTTGTGTTCTTCCTAGTTTAAAAATCAGTTAAGCATTGATATCCCTTACTCTTTTAGTGTCAAGCTGGGTGAGTCAGACTGTAGCTTTTGACTTAGCAGTGAATTGAGGAAGAGTGGAAGGCAAGAGTGAGAGTAAAACCCTGAAAGTGAATTTCAAGTAATGGATGAAACATCAACTGTAACTAAGGCAAATGAGGAATAGGCTGTTGAGAATAACAAACTTCTAATGCAAAAGGATATACAGTGCTCAAGCACTTGTATCTGCAAACACAGCGTGTCTCAAATGCTGGATAAAAGTAGTGGTTTGATCTGTGGCCCCTTGGCTGGATATAAGGGGAATTAGAGGGTAGCCCAACTACTTAATCATCTAAAAAATTTCTTGACTTCATTCGTTATTCTAAAATTCAAGGAACTAACTGAAGCCATTGCAATATCCTGGACAGAAGATTGATAGAATGGTTTTTGTAGCAGGTCTGAATGTCTAGTTCTTTCTGGCTGGTATAGATGATCTTCATAACTCTGCAAAGCCACTCTGGGTGGTAAGTCAAATCTGTTTGTAAGTGGGAATCAGTGCTTCAGCTGTGTAGGAACAAAACATGGTGACTGTAGATTATTTTCTAAATTTGTGTCTCAGAGGCAAAAGGGTTGCATGGCATAGAGTGGAGTTTTAAAAGTCCACAGTTTCTTACATGTTTTTTTTAAAACCTGAAGGTTAAATGATTACTATTAAAACAAGTATGTGGGGGGGGTGGGGGTGGTTTGCAGTTTTGTTGTGTTTTTCCTGGAAGAGTCTGACTGCAACCTAAGGAAATTATTTGGTTTACCTGTTGGGAGGTATAACCTCAGACTTCTTCTTTTTATGGAAAAATTAATAATATGTGCTGGCTTCTTTTGAGTGTTTTGGTCTCATCTTCATGGGTGTTTGGAACAGATCCTAGCAAATGTTTCTTGCATTCTCAACCCTCCTACTTCAGAGATGTAGCTGAAGAAGAACAGAGCAGTGCTGGAGAAGAATAGAGCAAAATATCTGAGGTTCTATAAAAATGTTTAAAGGGTGAAAAATCTAAAGGTTGACAGATTAAACAGGTTGATGCAAGTACTGCCTGTTGATGTAGGTCAGTTGATCCACTGTCTAGGTGAGGGTTCATCACCTATTGGCCATAACTTCACAGTCTCCGCAGCCTGACACGTCAATACTTCCTGTATGATGAATATAATGTTTTCAGGCCTTAGCAGACAAACTAAGCTAAACTAATGAGTCTAATAAGAATATTTATTCTTCAAAGTAAAATGTAATGTCTACCTACTAATAGTTATTTGCATTTGTTTAAAACTACAGCAAACATAACTGGCCACCGTTCCATCATGTCTACCGAAGCTGAAACGACTACCACCACCACCAACAGCCAGCCTGAACAACAGGCTCCACCTAAAGCACAGTCTTCAAAGAAAGAAAAAAAGAAAGGTAAGTAATGCTTACCTCTTGAAAGCCTCCTCTATTTAGTGTTCTTAATCTTTTACATGTGCCTAAACTAAGATCACTCTATCACTATAGCTAAATCCACTCAGAGGTTTCAAGCTGACCAGAAGAGTGAGTAAATAATCTAGTAAAATAAACCTAACCAGAAGGTAGGCTTTTAGTTTTAAAAGTTTTTTTTTCTAGCCTTAAATTCTAAAGCTCTCAGTTCCATTTCTTAAATTTGCTGAACCTGAGGAGTTAGCAAAAGCCCAGAGTCATGAAAGTCTCCTGGGGAGATGACCAGACTCTGGACCATCAAGGTGGTTATCAGTTTGAACCTGAATTTGACTCCTCCACTCCATCCAGAGAGAGGGGTTTGTGCTGGACACATATTCTAGTCCAGAGAAGCTAGAAAACTTATTCCCTGAACATTATTGTAGATTAGATAATATATTTTTGATAAATTAGATCATGTAAAGGTAATGACCTCATATAAAAATACATACCTAGGTACACTCCTGAAGTAGATTGGGCATATAGAGAAGAAAAGCAAGCAGTTCCTATTCGCAGGAATGGTAGAAATAACAAATTAGCTAAAATCTCAAGTGATTAGACCGACAGGAGTACCAAGACTTGTTTTAGAGAAATTATGGTGCTGATAGAAGGTTCTAGTGTGGAAGCTAGGAGATTATTCTTGCACACCAAGGAGAAATCTGCCTACACCAGAACAAGGGGATAACGCCTGAAGGCCTTCATTTCTGCTTGTGGTTTTTTCCTAACACCTGTATCTACTTGGCTGTTGCCAACAAAACATTTTAGTCTTTTAAGTGGTGAACAGTTGTTCTGAAGCTCTGAGATATTAAGCACTGGGCTCTTTGAACTGAGCCATATTCTGCAAGAGCACTGTGACCTTAATGGAATAACTATCTTGCAGTGCACACAGGACTGAAAAGGGTAAGGATTTTAGTCAGCTGTACTCAAGGGAATGTTTTAATATGTACATATATGGTATATATTTTTTAAAGATCTCCAATCCACAACATAGACACGTCTTTCTTAACAAAGAGAAAATACAACTTTAAAACAAACAAACAGACCCACTAGACCTCTTCTCTGATTCCAGGGCCAGAAAAGACAGATGAATCTCTCTTGGCTAGATTCAAAGGTGATGGTGTAAGATACAAAGCAAAACTGATTGGCATTGATGATGTCCCAGAGGCAAGAGGAGACAAAATGAGCCAGGATTCAATGATGAAGCTGAAGGTAAGGGCTTGAGCTGTCATGTAAGGAACCATCTCCAGTTACCTTTCAAAAAGCTAAGGTCACTTCAGCACAATTTCAAATACAGTTTAATGGTAACATAGTAATAACAGCACAATCCTAGATGGGTGTTATTTCTAAGGCTGGAAACCCTGTCTCAAAGGACAGTATTTCTCTAATAGCTTGGGAACACTCCTTTGGGTCTATAGGCATCCAGTGTGAATGCTAGTAATATGGATTTGATTGCAAATGGTGAGCTTGGGTTTTGGATGGGGAGGGGGGGGAATACTGTGCAATTTAATACTGATCTCAAAGCACAAATTGGCTTTCTGTGTAAATGGTGACAACAAGAGATATAGAGAAAACAAAAAATGAATGAAGCCCTGCAGCAATAAAAACTATTACTTCTGGAGTGTAGAACATTCACATACCTTCAAATCAGGCCAGAAAATCAGGTAAAGATGCTGCCACTGCAGCAGTTTTGTGAACTAAAATAAGTTTTAAAGCTCTTAAATGTTTACAAAGGAGACTAGTTCTGAGTATCACTTCAAACCTATGCAGGCATATGTTGCATGAGGAATGCTGCTCTAATTCTACAGTTGCATAAGAATAACTGGATTAGCACTAATACGGTCACAGCCACAGGCCCATGAGGAATACAGGGGAACGAGTTAAAGCTCCATCTAGAGAATTCTCATCGATATTTTGATGCTCCTTCTCTTTAGGGAATGGCAGTGGCAGCCCGTTCCCAGGGTCAACACAAACAGAAGATCTGGGTAAACATCTCCCTCTCTGGTATCAAGATAATAGATGAGAAAACTGGGGTAAGATATAACACATTTTCTTAATGTGATTCTTAAAGCAAGTGAGACATTTGGAAGTTAAACCAACCCAAACTAGATTCCTTAGTGGCACTATGCCCCACTTCCACATATAAAAATTGGCTAGTGAAGTGAGTTGTAATGCTAAAGCCTCCTGCCAGAAAGACAGCTATATCCTATTGTGGTTAGTCAAAGGGTGGTAAATCTGAGTCTTGAGCTGAAGTTTTTTAAAAGTCTCAATCATTTTAACTGCAGAGAATAGCAGCTGTTGTGTCTCCTGCAATTTAAACCAATAGCTATTTTTTCCCTATTCTAGGTTATAGAGCACGAACATCCAGTAAACAAAATCTCCTTTATTGCTCGAGATGTAACAGACAACCGTGCTTTTGGTTATATATGTGGAGGAGAAGGCCAGCACCAATTTTTTGCCATAAAAACAGCACAACAGGTATGGATCAGACACCCTCTTCCACTTGCTACGAACAGTGCTGTTGTGTAGACACTTAGTATGTGATAAGGGTGCAGTGTTTTGCTGGTAATCCTACAAGATTCCTCTGGGGAATAGCAGCAGAGATGGATAATTTTTTTCTTGAGAGGAGGACCATAAGAATTGACTGTATCATCACTGGCTTCTGTCTTGTACAGCTTCTTTGTAGTCCAAAATGAAAACACTCAAGTAGTCTTGCTTACTCTGACTAACAATGCTTAATTTGTCCATGCACCATGCAAGTCATTAGTGAGATGAACAGAGCCACTATCATTTGCTTCTCTCAGTGAGAACGCTAATTCTTGAGTAAAATAGCCAGAGCTTCATTTAGAACTAACAGGAATAGAGAATTCCATTGGTCTAGCTCTTGTAATGCTTTGTCTCGTGCAGCAGAGAAATCATTTACTCAGTTGCAACAGTGATTCCATGGCCAGTGAATGGTAGGCCTTGTCCTCCTAGAGTTGATTCTGTGAGGGATTCTGATCCTTCTGTGATAGGTTCCTCCTATGTAAAAATCCTGTGTGCAAGGTTTCTCTTGAAAGAGAGGAGAGTCTGTACATAAACAGTAGTGGAGACAAGCTACTTAAAAATACTCATGAGAATTATGCAGCATCATAAACAACCTGAAGTTAGGTATTTATTATTTATTAGCTTGTCATTCTGTAACAGTCACTATAATGATCAATTAAGACTTCAAAGCTAGAAATTTCTTTTACATGTCCCTGCCTGCCCTCTGGGAGAACCTGTTGGCAGCTTCAGACCCACTACAGGTGGGACTGAGGGGCTCCTTGTTGTAGCATTTTATTATTTCATTAGTAGCTATAGAGGACCCTCTCCTAAGTCTGTTTCACTACTTTATAAATGTTCTGTGTAGTACTGATTTCACTGGAATTGTCAATAAGGTACAAAAGCCTTTTGTATGTACTCTGGAGTCTATTCCCTCATTTCACCATGGGGTGCTGCTTGCCAGCCTCTAAGCTCAGCCCACCTGTAGACAGCTCTTGACTTGCTGCTAGTTGTTTTCAACACAGACTTTTCTAGCTGAAAAGTGAGGACTTCTGTAGCTCTAGTCTGCTGCAGCTGTACTCTCTGTTAAAGCTGATAACTTTTAAAATTACTCTTCTCGCAGTTGCATGTCTAAAACCCTTGATTAGAAGAGGATGGTGAGCAGATGTAACAGTGAGATCTGTTCAATGGATTATTTGCTTGAGCGAACAGTAGTGGCTGAAAGGGGAACCTGTCCTACTCTAGACATTGACACAGCTCCTGTATGTCTAAAACAAAAGTTCCAAAGCAGTACAGCTGAACCTGCCACCCTCTCAGCAACAACATTCTTGTCAATGGGCATGCAGGGAAATCCATGCTTTCTAACTGTCATCATCATTTAAAGCATCATGATTTCTAACTGTCATCATGATTTAAAGCTGGTCTCTGCTTTAAACATTTGAGGTGACAATAATCTTACCTTGTGCTGGCCTTGCTCATTTGCTATTTGTATACCTTTTAGAATAAATGTAGTGTTACCTATAGAAGCTTTCTCTAGGTTCAGTATTAGAGTTTGTTAAAAAAGAGACAAATGCAAAATGTTTTTCCTCTGAGGAGACTGCCAGAAGACTTGGATAAATTTTTGTACTTCTAGGATTTGTCAAGCACTTCTGGGCACTTCTGAAGTACTGCACTCCAACCTTTTTAGCAAAAACATAGCAGGCTTAGCACAAATACAGCCATTTTTCTTGTGGAGTTAATAACTATTCTAAACTGATTGGACTCAATTCCCTTAGGTTCTGCATAAGATCTCTTGTATGAAGACTAAAAAGGCCTTTAAATGATTGCTTTTCCTGTTATCTCGACCCAACCTTTGCACCATTTAGGAAAGTTTGGCTTACAGCAGAGATTTCTTCAGTAGAAGTACAGGGGAAAGTAGTACATGGCCTAAAATCTACATTTTTTTTCAGGCTGAGCCTCTAGTTGTTGATCTGAAGGATCTCTTCCAACTAATATATAATATGAAGAAGAAAGAAGAAGAAGAAAATAAAAAGGTAAGCAAAAATATAGCAACTGCATTACTCTGAATAGAAATAAAATTTTCTTCAGTTTTGTCTGAGTTTTGAGGTCTTGTAAGATTTGACACTGAGGTCTGTCTAAACCCAGGAACACTTGAAGTTACTGGTTGGTAGTTCTACCAGCAGTCTGATTACCTGCATCTGGTAACCTCCTCCGAAGTGAGAGACTTGTGATATTCTACATGATATCTTCATACTAAAAGCCTTCTTTTTTTCCTTTAGAGTGAAGAAGCAAGCAATACCGAGGTAAGTCACTCCAACTCAGCCTCTCTTGATAAGTATCCTGCTGCACCACAACTAGCTTTGACTTTCTTTACACTGCTAGCATTACAGACAGCATATCAGACACCTAATTACATTGAAATGGGACTAAAAGGGTTGTATGGAACTGAGTAGTCATCTCCCTCATATTTCCTCTTTCCATGCTTTTTAAAACCTACAAGTCCCTTGCTTGAGGTTAGTGTCGATATTCCAGTTATTGCTGACACGTATATCCATCTATTACAGAATGGTGGTGAAGCTGATCAAGCTGAAAAAATGAAACTGGTAGGTTAAATTATAGAACTTTATGCTGATGCCATTAAGGAGTTCATTACTGACTTTCTCCATATTTGTGGGAAATGCAGTATTTATACATGCATTTACAGTAAATTTGCATAATACTTGATCTTGCTCTTGTAAGAGCTCTAACAGATACAAATTCTTTCAATATTTCTGGCCTCAGGTAGTTGACCAGATGGACTTGTTTGGGGATATGTCAACACCTCCTGATATGAGCAGTCCCATAGTAAGTAGAGCCTAGCTTTACTGTCTTGGCTTTTGCTTTGAAAGCAAACTTAGTCCTAGTAATAAGTAATGGTTTTACTGAGACACCTCTCTAGTGATCATTAGTGTACTAGTGGGGTAGGGCTATAGAAGTACTACCTTACTAACGTCATTCTAGTAGCTCTAGCTCAAAATTTGGCCTAACTGCACAAAAGTGTGCATAAACCTTGTCATACCACAGTATGGCCCAAAAATCCTATCACTCTTAATCTGGCACCGTAAACCACCATCAGCCATGATACAATTGGTGCTATCAAACCAGCTATAGAGACCAAGTCTTACCCTTCTGTTGTGTGCTTGGTGGAGAATTAACATCTTTCACTGGCAAATAGCTCTCCAGTTGAGCTTCTGAAGTTGAGACTGCAACTTGAAATCACAAGAATATGTGATTTCACAACTTGTCAAAACTAAGAAATAAGAATAGGGGTTCCTGACTCAAGTGAAAGCCTAGGTATAATTAGTGCTTAATGATTCTACAGTCATTAGACTGAAGAACAAGTATCTGATATTTAACTATGGGATCTGTAAAAAGGTGCTTTCAGTACTGGGTTTCAGAAAGCAAGTAGTTGTGATTTGACTACAGTGCTTGCCTGTGTGACTTTGAATACTTACTAGTACAATGTATTGGATGCTAGAATGTCTTTTGCAGCTGTTTTCCTTGAGCTTTTGCACCATGCAGCAAATCGTACATAAAACTAATCTTATTTTTCTCTCTAAATAAATAGGAAGCTAAAGAGATTCTGTTAGTGGACCTTAATTCTGAAATTGAGACCAAACAAACTTTTGCAAAAGAGGATCTCTTCTTGAATGGCATCACAGCCTCTCTTCCACAACCAAAGGCACAGCCACCCTTCTTGCCTGAGAGTTCTTTCCCTACCAATCTCAGCTTCTTTCCCACACCTAATCCAGACCCTTTCAGTGATGATCCTTTCACACAGCCAGAACAATCTGCACTGCCTTCATTTGATTCTCTAATATCTGATCAGAAGAAGGAAAATCTGAGTCCCTTGAAATCAGTGGGTAATGGTGCTTCAAATGGTAATGCTGACTACTTTGGTAAACAGTTTGACCAGATTTCTAATAGAACTGGCAAACGAGAAGCACTAACAAGCCAGTGGCCACTTGAGAATGAGTCGCCTGCAGCAAGAGCTCCAAATGGGGTACCAGACAGAGAACAGAACAACTTTCTTAAAGTCCCATCAAACCGGCTTGTGAATGGTCCTTCCAAAGGATTATCTCTGCAGAACGGAGTAAAGCTGGATTCTGAAAACAATATGCATTTCATGACACACGAGTCTATAACAATTAGCCCACCACCACAGAGTACCAAACCAGGAAGAGGAAGGAGGTCTGTCAAGGTGAACAATGTTCAAGTAATTTATGGTGATATGCATGCTTTTACTTGGAGAAGCTGAGTGAAGGAAGCTTTTCTTTCTTCATACTGTGTAACTGGCTAAATAACTTCACAACACATCTGTTTCTTTTCTGCCTGCCATGTTTCCTCAAACCTCTCTGCAGCCATAGTACCTTCTTATATTCATGAATGTTTCATAGTACCTATGGTCACTAAATTCTATACTCTCTTCCTTAATGCTGCCAAACTTCTATAAAGGTCTGGTAAGTATGCTGTTAAGCATATTGACACTTGATATAATGCCTGAACCTGTTATGATAGCAGTGTGCCCATTAACCTATGGTTTCATAATAATGAGATATTAGTATCAACTTACAAAAATCAATGTACTTTCTCAGTATTTGCCTACTGAGGGCAATCTCAATGACTTGCCCAATTAGACACAGGGTAGCACTGGGTCAGCTTTGTTTGTCTTGTACTCAGATGATGTAAAACTCAGCTGCTGGCCTTGCCACAACTGCAGGGGTCACTGGAAACTGAGCAATAGTGTTTAAAGGGGTGGGGTGCAGAGGAGAGTTTATTATGATAGCATATAATTCAGTCATTTCAAGTCCTACTCTTCTGTTGTTGACTTGTGACTACTATATACTATACCTAACTAATGCCATAGGCATGAACAAAATAGTGATGTTTGAAACTCTTATACTTGGTGTCTAAACGATACATCAAAGCTCCATATTCTGCTTTAGATGAAATTAAAGCTTGTAGCTCTGGGCTAGGGAGCCTTGATCATGCCACATATGTTCTGCCAATGGCATCTCACAAAAACTTTTTTTTTTTTCTAGACTGCAGTGAATGACTTATTCAGCTCAGACTTCTTTCTGCCAACTACAGAGACCTTTACCTTGAGCTCAGTGCCACAAACAGGACCTGCTGTAACTAGTACGCTGGACCTCTTCACAGCACACTCAGTGGCTGGTCTAGGTTGGTTTACAAAGTGAAAGTCTAGCTTCAGTCTGAGATATCTGCTAACATCAAAACAGGGATTCTAGCTTTTACTTTATTTCTTGCATAGTGCTGTGTCCTTTAATCCTTTAATCTGGCCTAAACTTTATAATTCTGTGAATAGAGGCCTAAATTCTGCATTCTTAACTGGATCAGGGAAGGTTTTGCTTTAACTTTGACAGCAGTTTACTGCTTCAGGTACCCAAGGTTCAAGTGAGCCAAGTAATACTTGTAAGGCCACGGTAAAATTGCTGCAGAGTCTTGATAATCATTTACACAGAAGTAATTATATGGCAAATGCATCTGTCACTTCTGTGCTAGTATTATGCTCCTCCTTCTCTTATGTCAGCCTCAGTTTTTTTCTTCCAGCATTGAAATGCAGCAAAGTAAAGAGATTAACCCTCTTCTCCTACCCCTATGACTCCCTGAATATTTTGATTTGTAAGTGTAAACCAAGCGATTTTTGCAAACAGTACATGAAAAGGTTTTGCTGGTACCCTCTGTAGAACTGACATACTCCTGCTTGAGGTCTTCAAGTGACTGACGTGTTATGTAACAACAATCTCCCCCCAGGTGGCTTGCCAGTAACTTCATCACCATGGACTACACAGACGCATTCCTTCTCTCAAACTACATCAGTCTTTCCTGGATCTGTGATAAGTGCTCAGCCTACAGGATTTACCCAATCACTAGCATTTGGTACTCAAGCAGTGCCAGGCTGGAACCAATCTGCATCTTTTGGTCCAGCGGCCACTCAGTCTTCTGGTCTCTGGCCACAGCCAACACAAATTTCACCTAGTCCTTGGCCACAGCCATCCAGTGCTGCAAATCCCTTCCAGAGCAGCATGTTCGCATCTTCACCACTACCTCCTCCATCACCACCTGTACTGCCCTCCCTGTCAGCAACACCTCAGCCACCACCCAGAACTCCAACACAGAAGGAGCCATCCAAGAAAGAGAGTGATGCTTTCATTGCTCTGGATCCACTTGGGGATAAAGAGATGAAGGATGTCAAGGAAATGTTCAAAGACTTCCAGCTGACAAAGCCACCTGCAGTACCAGCAAGGAGAGGAGAGCAGCAAAGTCTTTCAGGTGCTTCTGGAGCTTTCAGCAATTACTTTAGTTGTAAAGTAGGTATTCCTCAAGATAGTACAGATCATAATGATATGGAAGTTAGCGAGCTGTCTGCTAAAATGCCTGGTAACATTTTGATTTTTTTTTCTTTTCTCCTTTCCTCTGATTGGGTAACTGCTCAGGGACTGGGATGGCTGATCAGTCTTTTCTGACAGAACTAAAAATTTGAGTTAATAGTTACTGAAACAGAGGGCTGAAGACTGTCTCCACTTATAAATTGAAGAACTGCACTGGCTAAACACTGTCCCCTAGTGCCTGAACTACTTGATTAGAATAAGGTACACTTAAGTCTGTACAATGTTAGAATTTACATCTAGCTTAGATTTAGTGAGTGACAACCAGGAGTTAAAACTGTGAGGTCAGTCAAAGCAATTTCCATGTAAGCTTTTTGTGTTTCTAATTATACGAGTTTTGTTGTTGCTATACAGGCAGAGCTAAATAGTGGCTAAAGCTGTTAAGTGGTTATAGAGGTATCTCTCTCTTTCTTAGAACCACCAAAGCCTGTTCCTCGACAAAGTGCACTGCCAGCTGATGGTCTATTTGAAAGTCAAGCTAAAACAGATCTTTTCAGTCCCTCATCCGTAAGTAGTAAAAAACCAAAACAACACCACCACCACCACCACAAAAAAACACCAAAAACCTTTCTTTCTCTTTAATTACAGGGGTACCCATGTTTGAACACTGGCTTAGTTCTGGTTTTAGAGGCTGTACAACAAAAACATTTTGCATGTTTGAGGCTAGTATGTAATCTGACAAGGTGCATTTGTTACAAGAAAGCTAACGAAGTAATATTCCATTTGGCTTGGCTCAATAACCAGTTCCCCAAGCTGCAAGCACTAGCAGAAAGTTCTTCAGTATTGGGAGCTTCTCCAAAAGCATATAAAATAATGTAGCTGCAGACATATTCCACTTTGGTTATACTTACCTCTCTTTAGAGTAGACTGAGCAGTGTGGATTGTGTAGCTCTCTAGCTGAATGCATGGGAGATTTCATGTTCAGTACTCCTTGAGTGAGGAAGTGGCTTCACCACATTATTCCATTTTGGACACAGCACTTGAAGCCCCTGGTGGAAATTCTGGACCAGTTCCAGAATACTGACTTTAGACTTTTAGCATTTGACAGAAAGAGATCTCAATGTGACTCCCCCGTCTCAGCTCTAAAGAACTGTTGAGTAACCACACATGGCTGTTCTGAAAAATACTTCATCCTGTACTAGGGTAACTGCTAACACAGCTTAGAGCCAGCCCTCTTCTCTTGTTAAAACAGTACAGTTAATGTGTTTTTTACAGGGACTTTGAGGTATTCTTTCCAGGTGTTTGTAATATGAACTACCTGAGAAAGCCGTGCATAGTAATCTGGTGAAACCTGGAAATCCACTAACAGCTTATTTCTCTTTCTTTAAAAGGATTCTCAGAAACTACATTCTGATCCTTTTGGGGATAATTTTGGCAACCCATTTGCGTAGATCAGGTAAGTCTTCCACTGATAAAACAACCTACATCATTCTCTGAAATTGACTGAGGAAATCTTTGGTAAAGAGCTGGCTAAAAACTACAGTACTTTAATGCTAATGCTCTCTGAAGGATGGCAAACAGTCCCTAAAAGAACAAGTCTGTTAGAGTACCTCTACTCAGATTTGTACATAGCTGCATTCTGTCTAAGCCTAGCCGGCTTTGCTTTCTTAGAAATAAAGACTTTATTCTTCCACAGACATAAATCTCAATGCCACGGTAGATCTAGATTTCGTTTCCTTGAGGAAAGTTAATGAGTAAATATGTGTTGCAGAACTCAAAGGGGCTGACTTAATACCTTCAGATATCTGTAGGAGCATGTTAGCATACAGTGCCCCATAAATCTTTCTGAAGTTCAGTCACCTAAATAATTGCAGCTTTGGATTCCTGGTGAATTGGAGTAAAATTAGAATAAGTCTTTATAGCCTTACTCTGATTTTAATCAAAAGCTGTTATAAGAGCTTTTGTTAGTAGAAACTAATGTAATTCTAACTTTTATACCATTGACTAGAGAACATGAACTGTTGATCCAGCAAATCTATTCCTCTTCCATACTCTGTCTTCCCCCGAAATCCTGTCTAGCTTTTGACACAAGACAAGTGTTGGTATTTATTACTTTAGTTTTGTTTTCAGTGGCTCTAAGCTACTTTAAGGAATAAAGCTATAGCTTATAGCCATCCTAACGCTAATTCCTTTCTATCATACTAGGTGTAACCATAAAAGGACAAATGGAATAACTGGACCTCTTTTCAACATGATTTTTCTACATGTTTCACTTTGCTGTCTGTCACTCTTGCTGCTGTTCCATGATGTCTGCAATCTAAAGCATATCCAGGGGGATTGAAGCATGAACACTCAAAGAACATGCTGTGAAGATGATAATTCAGGGCAAAGCAAATGGGGATATTGACTCACGCTGGAAACCCAAATTCGTATTGGTGGATGTTAACTTTACTTTAGTTCTTTGCAAACCTCTGTAGAAGAGCTTAGCAGAACTGAGTCATGTGTCTTGTAAATATGATCATTTTTCTTTTATGTAGCACTTACTGTCCCAAAATATAGGAACTTAATGTACCTGGGGAAGAGGTGGTACCTGCACCTAAGGATGTTGAATTAGTAGCTAAACTCCACACCTTAAACAGCTGCGTCTGTTGCCTATTATCACAGCAGCAGCCAGTTGTAAAGTTAAGTGGATGCTACTCAGTTCTAGTTGGTGACTGGACACATTACTTGGTCTCTTAGCCACAAAAATTTAACTGTATGTAGAGGAAAAGAGTCTAATACTAGTCTATTTCACTAGAAGTAAAATTATCATTCTGCCATAAATGTTTAATAAAGGGACTGCGGGGTCTGTAACAGCACTGCTGAAGCCCTTAGTATAGAGGCCTACACTGTAGAGTCAGATAAGCAGAAAAACTTCTTGCAGAACTTTGAGGTAGTTGCGGACACTAACAGTTGTCTTGGTGCTAATATGGCATTTTGCAGGGAGGGAAACCTAATAAGATTACTTCACTATTAAGGATAGCTTGGCAGACAAATGGAACAAGCAGGTAGGCTTCTTGCTTATGTCTCAGTGAATGTTGCTGATGTTGCTCAGTTTGAGTTGTCACATGGTGTAGCATAGCATGTTTCCATTATGTTAGAAAGCAAAAAGACAATAATGGCTTCACTCCATGCCCAGACTCCTTGAGAATGGATGCACCACCTCTTGCCATTAATATGAGTTAATACTCTTGAAAAACATGTCTTTCCTCAAGAACCTCTTTACTAACAGATTTTTAAATCAGTTAGTTACAACTGACTGTAACAGCTACATTCTTGGCCAGTGGTGATGACTGATGTGTCAGAGGTTTTTCTGTTAATAGTAAGTATAAACTTGAAATGATGTTGTTAAATCAAATGCGTTAGTACCGAATTCAGACATTTACTCAAATTAGTCTTGTATATAAACCTCTCTTGCACTTTCTGCAATGAAAAAAAAAAAAAAAGGCACAAATTTAAATATTCGTCTCAAACTGGAAATGTAGAAACTTATGGATGTTACACTGTTATATAAACTGTAGTATCTCAAGTGATGTTACTTAATGACATTAAACAGAAGCAACTCTTCATACCAAACGAACGTGTGGCTGTTTATTCTGTCCTCTTTAGATCAGTTTTGTGGTGTATTTGACACTAGGAGTTCAGAACCTGCTAAGAATTTTTCCTCACAGGTTCGATAGCTGTCTGATGGCAGTGTCTTTCTCTTACTTCCTGCAATGGACCTGACTGACAATGTCATGCCACATTAAAAAACGAAATCTCCAACTGATTTAGTAAACTGTCACTAGAATCTTGTCCCATTAGCTACTCAGCCTGAGCAGGCAGCTACTGAAGATGCTTTCTTGCTCCTTTCTTTAGGACCGTGGAAGCTGGATACTTAAATTGCATTGCATTCAGAAGTTTCATTAATTCAGCTTGTGTTACCCAACTTTGCAGGAGAACTAAACTGATGGTGGGAAATTTTAATTAGAACATGTAGCTTATGCTCAAATTATACAACTCCTTTAATAGAGATGGTGCGAGAAAGATAAATCTACTAGGAAGCCTCCATTTTAGACTACCTTGCTTATTTTTAATACTGTTTGATGGTTAAGGGTTGAAAACAACTCATTGCAAAGGAGTTGGTGTCCAGCTTGAAATATAGGTCTTAGGGGGTTTTGCACAGTTTTTTGCACAGAATCAGACTTTTAATTATTATCATTTTTTTCCTTGACTGCAAGGCATCATGTAACTTAGTACCATTAGAAATAAAAAGATTATTGACTGTCTTGGTGTCTGTGTGAAGGAGTATGTTTACCAGCAGTTGAGTTAAAGTTCTAAATCACTGTTTGCTGGTCAAGGAAAAGTTTACAGTCCTACTACGCTGGAATTTTGAAATGGCTGCCAGGATGATCACTCAGAGCTTGTTAGCAGGACAAGCTGGCCGAAGACACTTGCTGGTCTGCTAGCTTACTTTGAGTAGCTGTTTATTCTGAATCTCCGCCTTAAAGAACTGCAAACTGTGAAAGCAGGTATGATGAAGCAATACAGCATTACAAGTGTCTATGTCTTGCATTCTTGCCTAACAAATGAGTTAAGTGCAACTGGGCTCATCAAGCTGGACTGGAACTGCAGCAGATTTAAGTTCCTTTAAGTGAAATTGTTCTAAATTAAGGTTTGAATAGGGAAAAAACTTGCCCTGCCCTATCTCACACACTTCCTCCTCCCCATCACAAAATGCAGAGAACAGAAAATATTAAAAGCACACTTTTTTTTTTCTTTTTTAGCTACCGATGATAATTTGCAATATCCTTACTCTGGATGATTGTTTTAAGCTTGCATCCGGATACTCAATTCTTAACAGCTAAATAGCAGGTTATTTATGAGTGACATGTGACTGTGTCCAACACATGATGCCTTAAATCTGGATTACAGCAAAGTACTCATAAGGAATGTCCTTCTAAAGAGCTAGCTTGTGGTTTGGATGTTGGTGACAGAGTAAAAGCTAGAAGAGTTTTAGTCTTCTTCAAAACCACAAAAAAGTGGTGTGTTGTTCTTTTATATTGGCTGGGGGGGAAATGAAAAAAGAACCTTGGGACTTTAATCCTCCATTACTCCGAATGAGGATTCCAAAGATGTTAGACAGTGAACTTGTTCTTGTAAACAGCTCTGCTTTAGGAACTGTTTGTTCCTTACGTGAGTCACTGCAATGATAGCTTTTTTACTAAGCAGTTAATGGTACTCTAATTCAATACATAATGTCTTTCCTATATTAGAAAGATACTATTAAAGATACTATTAAACAAAATTGGTTTATTTTTAATCTTGAAACTACTCCATAGTATTTTCCAGTCCCTATTCAGAGGAAAAAGTGGAATTTTCTGAAAAGTGGACTTTAGAGCATTTACTGTAAGGCAGTTCTGACCCATTACTGGCATTCTTCGGTAAACACTGTTTTTTGTTTGTTCTCTTGGTAATAAATAACAAAAGGAACAAATAAATAAATTACAAGTTTGATCATGGCTATTTTACTCTATTCAGCTGCAAAATGAGAATCACATGCGTTATCCTGCAGCTTATATCCATACTATGCAGTTTAGGGATGGTTACCTCGCTTCTGGAGGAAAGCAGAAGGTAAGTGTTCTTTGTCTTCTACAGCTGTCTCTACTGTTTTGTTTCTCTTAACACAGAGTATAAACATCCAATGTAGACATTTCTTATGGTAGCTTGCTTAGATATCCTATGGAAAGACAAACTCCCTCTTGCTGTATTTCAAGGAGTCAAATAGCAATACTATATCCATTTATTTTGGATGTGTGTGACACAATAAAGGTAACTGATAGCAATTGAAGCCATATTCTTGCAGGGTGGTGAAGCTCAGGCACCTGTTTTCTGTTGCACACTGAATGTTAAAGTACTTAATCTATTTCTTTCTGAAGACCCTCAATTTTATGCTAACAGTACTTCTCTTACTATTTAAAGTCTGCTTATGTCTAATCTTTGGAAATACAGCCTTTGTCTTTTCACTGCAAGTATCACTAGGAAGAGTACAAATGCTTAATCCCTACAAAATGATCACGTGGAAACAAATAAATCGCTACTCTGTCAGAAATATCTATATGTCATTTATAAGAATGGCCAATAGTTAGTGATGAAAAAACTGTAAGTCTCATGTTGGAGCAAGTCCCAAGGGCCACAAAGTTGATAAGAGGACTGGAGCACCTGCCCTACAAAGACAGACTAAGAACGTTGGGGTTGTTCAGCCTGAAGAAGAGAAGGTTGCAGAGAGACTTCAGAGTAACATTCCAGTGTCTGAAGGGGGCCTACAGGGAAGCTGGAGAGGGACTCCTCAGCAGGAACTGTAGTGGTAAGACAAGGAGTAATGGGTACACACTGAAGGAGGGGAAATTTAGGCTAGGGACCTTAGAGACCATCTAGTCCTAACCACCCCTGTCATGTGCAGAGGCACCTCCCACTAGATCAAGTTGCTCAGAGTTCTGTGCACCCTGGCCTTGAACACCTCAAGGGATGGGGCATCCTCAACCTCCCTGGGCAACCTTTTGCAGTGTCTCACCACCCCCACAGTGAGAAGTTTTTCTGAACATCTAATATAAACCTACCCTCTTTTGATCCATTCCCCCTTGTCCTGTCACTTCACATTCTTGTAAAAAGTCCCTCTCCATCTTTCTTGTAGGCTCCCTTCAGGTACTGGAAGGTCACAGCTAGGTCACCCCTAAACTGTCTTTTTTCTAGATTGAACTGTCCCAATTCTCTCAGCCTTTCCTCAGAGGAGAGGTACTCCTTCCCTCTAATTATCTTGGTGGCTTCTGCACTTGCTCCAACAGGTCCATATCCTTCCTGTGCTGGGGACCCCAGAGTTGGATGCAGTGCTCCAGGTGGGGTCTCATCAGAGCAGAATAGAGTGGTAGAACCCTCTCCTTCACCTGCTTCCCATGCTGCTTTGGATGCAGCCCAGGACATTTGATTTTCTGGGCTGTGAGTACACATTGCCAGTTCACATCCAGCCTCTTATCCACCAGCACCTCCAAATCCTTCTCTCCAGGGCTGCTCTCAGTCTGTTCATCCCGCAGCCTGTGTTGATACTGGGGGTTACCTTGACCCAGGTGCAGTATCTTGTACTTGGTCTTGTTGAACTCATGAGATTTCCATGGACCTGCTTGTCAAGCTTGTCCAGGTCCCTCTGGATGGCACCCCATCCTTCAGGTGTGTCAGCAGCAGTACTCAGCCTGGTGTCATCTGAAAACTTGCTGAGGGTGCACTTGATCCCACTGTGTCTTAATGAATATATTAAATATATATAAATATAAATATAATAAAGATATACAATGAACATGTTAAATATGAACATGTATGGACCCCTGAGGACACCACTTCTCACTGATGTCCACTGGGACCCTGAGCCATTGCCCACATCGCTCTGGATGTGACTGTCCGAACTACTCTCTTATCCATCTAACAGTCCACCCATTGAAACCATCTCTCTCCAATGTAGAGAGAAGGATATTGTGGGGGACTGTCAGAGACCTTAGAGAAAGCCAGATATATGACATATACAGCCTTGCCGCTGATGTAGTCACCCCACCACAGAAGGCCACTACATTGGTCAGGCGCTTGCTTCTTATGTTTTGATGGTTATTATTATTATTATTTTGGTATTCAATCCAATTAAAGTACAGGACTGAAATGTTCATTTATAAACAGTCTTGCCAGAAGATGCAATTATTACAGAGAATCCATAGCAGGCATCTTTGGCCAGCAGCTTGGCTTCCCAGTTTACCAAAAACTCTGCAGCTTGATGATGGTGCTAGAAACTACAGTGGGCAGAGGTTATGTTCTCTTGATGCTATCATGTCTCCAAATTCAAGAGAGCCATGCCTTCCCTCTTGGCCAGTGATAATTAAGAAACCAAGGCTTGTTCTTGAGTCTTCACTTTTGTAGCTGATGAACTCAACAGTCCTCTGTTTTGAAGTATGGCTCAACAATAAATCACCAGAGCTCTGTGGCCTGAGGCTGTATAGAGTGTATTGTGCAATCCAAGACACGGTGAAAACAATTCTGTGTTCTGACTGTGAAATGGCTTTTGCTTTCCAAAGAGTACCCTCCTGTCCCTCAAACCTCTCAATAAAGGATCACAGGGAACGTATTTTGATTTCCTTGCTTGTCTGCCAAGTTCTTGCTTTCAGCTGTCACCTTCAGTGAAGTTCAGAAATATGCTTCACTATAAACTTCTCTAGCACCTGAATACTTGATAATCACCAGGAACAAGATGTACATCTCTATTTAGAAATCCTCTTAGACGTCTCAATATATCTTTAAGGAACCTGTCAGTCTTCACCCTGAGGTGTCAGAATACACATGGTTACTCAGAGATTTACAGTCCTACATCAGTAAGGAAATGAAAAGGTCATATATGCAGATATCTTGCAAATATAGGAAGGAACAAGCTGATTCTCAATCATTTGCTAGAGCAGTAGATTCTAATTTATTTCCACTGTTGATGCTACTGTCTGTTAAGTGGTGGGAAAATATTTCATAAAATACTGTACAGTAACTTTTCAAGCATTACTTGCTTATTATGAACTATCTGTAAGATGAGCTAATTACAGATACAAGTTGTTTTTGAAGAGGCTGGAGAGCTATGTCAAATTTGAGTACACCAGAATTTCACTGAACTGCAGAATACATTGAAAAGTCTAGGTTGAAAGGGACTCCTGGAGGTCTTATACAATGGTCTGTTCAAAACAGGGTTTTAGATTAGGTTATCCAGGGGTCCTGCCAAAGAGTGTTGAATACTTCCAGGGTAACCTGTTCCCTGCATTTCCCTGGGTAATCTATTTCAGTGTTTAATAGTTATAATCATGGCTATTGGATTTATTTTAATAATCAAATGACATTTCCCCTGAAGCAACTTCTGCATTGCCCCTCTATCTTCTATGTAACTACCATCTAAATCTTAGATTTTCCTAGAGAATTTTCTAAGAGATGCTGCACACACTTTTCTTTTTCTTTATTACTTTTGAGTTATAAACCTTACATAACATAGGGTAAGCGAGAAGTGGAATTACAATTTCAAAAATCTTTATCAGTTCCCAGGCAGAAATATCATTCTGATCTATGTAAGCACGCACGCTTAGTCAATGTTTGACATACACACACTTTGTAGTAAACCTTAACAGCACTGAAGAAAAAAAGCTGACCCATCATGACAAGGAAGAAGAAAGGACTCACATTAAAAGTGCCATGTTGAATCTAATCACAGTCTTTCTATGTCAGGGCAAAGAGATAGAATCATAGAAGCATAGAATCAAGTTGGGAAAGATCTCTGAGATCATCAAGTCCAACCCTTGATCCAACACCGCCATGGTTACTAGACCATGGCACTCAGTGCCACATCCAGTCTCATCTTTAAAACCTCCAGGGACGGAGAATCCACTGTCTCCCTGGGCAGCCCATTTCAATGTCTGATCACTCTCTCCATAAAAAATTTCTTCCTAATATCCAACCTAAACTTCTCCTGTAAACTGCCCCTGGCAGAGCTTAAGCCCATGCCCTCTTGTCCTACTGCTGATTGCCTGGGAAGAGAGAGCAACCCCCACCTGGCTACAACGCCTTTCAGGTAGTTGCAGAGAGTGATGAGGTCTCCCCTGAGCCTCCTCTTCTCCAGGCTAAACAACCCCAGCTCCCTCAGCCTCTCCTCACAGGACTTGTGCTCAAGTCCCTTCACCAGCCTCGTTGCTCTTCTCTGGACCCGCTCCAGCACCTCCACATCCTTCCTGAACTGAGGGGCCCAGAACTGGACACAGCACTCCAGGTGTGGCCTCACCAGTGCTGAGTACAGAGCAAGAATCACTTCCCTGCTCCTGCTGCCACACTGTTCCTGATGCAGGCCAGGATGCCATTGGCCTTTTTGGCCACCTGGGCACACTGCTGGCTCATGTTCAGCCTCCTGTCCATCCAAACTCCCAGGTCCCTTTCTGCCTGGTTGCTCTCCAGCCACTCTGTGCCCAGCCCGTAGCGCTGCAGGGGTTGTTGTGGCCAAAGTGCAGGACCCAGCCCTTGGCCTTGTTGAACCTCATCCCATTGGAATCAGCCCAAGTCTCCAGCCTGTCCAGGTCCCTCTGCAAAGCCCTCCTGCCTTCCAGTAGATTACTCCATATCTAATAGTGATCATTAATGGATGCAAAGATAGAAATGTAAGAACAAGGCAGATGTTCAAAGCCATCTACCTCATTATCAGCACTTTTAGCTGCCAACCAGTGGATTACGGATTTTGGTGCACAGAATCCAGCAGAGAATTAGTGAAAGGGAATTCTGTATAAAATGGACTTCTCACAAGGTTGGTTCTATATCTTTATCAATCACCCCAATTCCTGGTGCCAGGGACAAAGCAAAGCTTCATGCTTCCCTACCAGATAAGAATTTGGAAGGTCCCTATTGTACGGAGAGAATTTTTCATTCTTTATCTCATTTTTCCTGGGTATGGAGATTGGGCATTCTTGTGCTCTTCCCTTTTTTACTTTTTTTCAGAATATCACCTATTAAAAGCAATATCCTTAGCCAAGGATTCTTTTCTTGCAGGTCCTGGGTTGAGGTCAGGGGATTTTTGGGAAGGAGCTGTTTAGGAGCAGCAGGCAAGGCAGCTGGGAGTGTGTGATACAGACACTTCCAACAGTAGCTGTGGTGCGTGTTTACTGTATGTGTGTGTGACAGCAGAAAGTCTGAGGCATCAGAGCCAGTCAGGGTCAGCTGATTATATAAAAGGTTGCACAGCAACCCTGTGATCCCTGAACCATTTAAGATTCAATAGCTGGAAAGAGGTTGATTTATCATCTCAATAACAACTTACTGCTTACGTAAACTGAACACAGAATAAATGGCACAAGAAAGTTGGAACAACTGTTGTATCTTTCTTGTCCAAACTGCAGATTTCTCAGTGTTATGGAATCAGGTTATATTTGTTTAGACTCCTGACATGTTTGTACAATCTGAGGGGATCAAAGAGCAGAGAGTAAGGCCCTGCCTGCAATGAAAATACATACGTACATCACACTGGAGGAGCTGCAACCTGCTAGGCTCAGCAAAGAAACTCTCAGCGTAGAGCAGAGACAACAACATTAACCTGGAGAAATGCAGAGAGGGTGAATGAATATAGAAGCATGTAAGGCCAAATTGGAATAAATTACTCAGAGCAAACCAAGCAATTTAGACTTTAATCCTTGATTTCTCTGCTAACATTGTTACCTGTGAAGATAAGGTCACCAGTAACTACTGACACTGGTTTTTAAAATTAATAAGTCATTCTACAGTGCATCGGTTTTTAATATCTACCAGGGGATTTATTTCTACAATGGCCTTTCGCTTAATGAGAACTGGAAGTTTGATGGTGTTTAAAACTGAAATGAACAAAAGGAAGAGTCACTCTAAAAGAAATAGGCCTAACTGCAGAAGTATTCAACTTGAAAAGCTGAACAACAATAAGATAAACACTTGTCTGCTTTTTTTCCAGCAATGTAAGTTAGTCTGCTACCAAGTAATACCAGTATTTATGAGTTTTCTTTCAACTCAGGAAAACATTTATATTTTTATCCAGGCCTAAGAGTAATGCCAATAAAGTTAATAAGCTAAAAAAATCACAAAGGTTTGTATTGAAGTGCTGCGTCTATTCAAGATGTGCTGCTGTGCCTTTGTCTTAAGCTTTGCATATCAGGAAGCAAAGCCACTATCTGAGTGGGGGACTGCAGATGTTCTCTGTGTATTATTGTTCCATTCTCTTCAATAACATGACCCATCAGAAGAGTATTTGTGTGCACAAAGATATATAAAAAAGGGGAGAAAGACCTGGCTTATTAAGTCTTTAAAGTGTTTTTAATGTAATTTTAAACCACCAAAGAATTTAATACTAGGCAGCTGTTTATACAACTAAGTACTGCTATGAAAGTGAAACAGAAATCAACTTGAAGATGCTTCCAAAATATTGGCCCATGGTTTAAATGCAAACTCACATGTGATTTTAGTGTACTGCCCAGGACTGTACTGGAATGTTTTGTTTGACAGCTCTTCAGAAAAAGCTTTCCTCCGGGGAACAAGAGAACTGAATGCTCCATCTCCAATAGATTGTGAACTGAGCAGCTGGAGCTCTTGGGGGTCCTGCGACCCATGCACTTATCAAAGGGTAAGCTGTTGTTGGAAGTCTTTGTTCCAAAACCACAACCAAAGGGATGCTATCTGTTTGATTGTTGGTTATGAGAAAATATCATATTACAACTCTTACTATTGCACATTCATGATTTGATAAAACCCATAATCATTTCAGATCTGAAGTCATAAGAATAAAAGAATAATGTACAATTCTGTCAAGAGTTCTCATTCAAAATGTTTTCTTCATATAAATTTTCTCTTCTGGCCATGCGGATGTTTCTGTTAAAAAGCAGATTTTTATTTTCTTAGGGGAGTTGTTCTTATGAGACTTCAAAAAATAAAAGACGTGAAAGCATACAAAATATAAGTGATGCACTTCCTTCATGGCATGAAATAAAAAAAATCAGTGAAATAAACTAAACAGTGAAAAAATAGCATCTCTACATAGTGGCTGAATATTGATAATTACTAATTCAATATTGTTTTAACCATAAGATATGCCTGTGGAATTTCAAGCAGATATTTCACCGAAGGTGCTTCCTTTTGAAAAGTTCTCAAGTTCATGTGGAAACCCTTCAGTTCTGATAAAATTCTTCTTTCTCTCTGGGCAATGTTAATAGCGTTATTTGTCTTTCAAGTTTCGATCTAGACGTGTTGAACGATTCGGACAATTTGGTGGAAAACCGTGCCTGGAGGCCCTGGGAGACACACAGACCTGTGAAACCAGCGAAACCTGTCCTGCAGAACCAGAAACAGACTGTGGTACTGACTTTCAGTGTAATTCTGGTAAGTCTTGTTTTTGTGCCATATAATGCCTTTACTCAGAAACTACCTTTTACTTAGTGCTGTAAGTTAAATCAATCTCCACTGAAGACAAAATACGTACACAAAAAGAGGGATATGCTTCAGTGCTTTTTCAAATCGAGACGATTTCCTGAAGCAAGACCTTATGCCAGCACTTAAAGACAGTCTGTAGGTAGGTAGGTTCAAAGCCACAATGACAAAACCACAGCATGAACAATGCTTAAGACAAGGTACATTCCTTTCATCTTCCATTATAATTTGCATCTAGTTTGAATTCTTCTGTAATTTCTTCTCCATGATTAGAGGCTGACCATACTGTGAGTATCCTTTCTTCTAGCTTAGCTGCTCCACCTGCTACTGAATCACCATGTTTTATGAAAAATCACTGGGGAAAAAAAAAACCCTGAGAATGAAAGAATTTTAACAGAATGGATATGGAAGGTTACTGATCTAAGTGTTATGATGGATGCTAGCTGGAGACCAGAATGCTTCTAGATTGAAAGCAAGATATAAATTTGTAAAGCAATACATGCATGGCATACGAATGAATGTAGTGCTCAGGATTCATCAAAAATCAGAACAAAATAGGAAGAGTTAATAGTAATAAATCTAGTCAAAAAAGAAATTGAAAGATGGTAAGTGAATTTTGAGTGCCAAGCCATTTTTGGTATTGTTTTAAAATCAGAGTAGTGCAAAGAGAGAAATTAAAAATTGGAAAGTAGGCCTTTAGCTACTAGTTCACAGGCTTTACAGCTGAGGCAGATGACACCAAGAAGTGTTGCTTTATTATTCTGGGGCTAATTTATCTAAATCTTTAGATGCTACAGGGGAAAAAAAATTAATCTTTGTAAAACTTGAGATATACAACCTCAGGAAAATTACTACTTCACTGTTGCTTTAGAACACAAGTCACTGTAGTTTTGGACCCTACAGTGGCCATAGTATTTAAATAATATTGTCCAAATTGCATAATTTAGAAATAATTCTTTGTTGATGTTGAATTTGTATTTCCCGTAGTCTCTTAATTAAAAAAAAAAAACACCCAAACCCAAAACAATCAACATAACAATCAAAGTTTAATATAGAAACAATCTCAGTCTGTAACAACTTTCTTCAGATAACAGCAGTTCTCCTGTGACTTACAGTAATTCCTATGTAAATACAGTAGTATGCAGGGTTTTTTTCATTTGAAAGAGGCAAAGTGTAGAATTTTATCCCTCCTGACAATAATAGAAATGTACTTAGAGGAAGATCTCAATAAAGAGTAGATGAGGGTGTCATTTAAAGTCCATCTTGACAAAACGCATTCACGCAATGTTTTATTCTTTGATTAGGTCTGTGTATAAAGCAACGACTTGTGTGCAATGTAGACGATGACTGTGGAGACAATTCTGATGAAGATCACTGTGACTCTAACCGACGATCACCGTGCCGTAAGGACGACATTGATGTGTCTGAAGTTGGTAGGACTGCAGGGCAAGGGTATGTAGTGAAGTAAAAAGTAGTATTGGGCCTGGTGAAGAGTTTAGGATTGTCTCGACAGCCGGCTGAAAGTGCTGGGGCAAACTGATATTCCCAAAAGTGGAATCTGAATCATGTTTGCATTTGTATTCAGAAATGCTAAGTAGCTTTTGCAAGAACTCTCAACTACCATTTCATTTTGTTTACTTGTGGAGGATAAAATATTTATGCAGACAGTGTAAATCAATTACAAAATTAATAAACAGTCATACATAGGTATTACATAAATTAACTTAAAATGCATATTATTCAAATGTAAAGTTTATATAGATATGTTTCAAGTGACATTTCATAACAAATCAGTAATTCCCAATTACTTTACCAAAAAGCATGTCTAAAAGGGAGAAAATTTCTCTTCATTATTTATACAAGGGGATGCCCTACTGCAATAATACTCTGTCTGCAGCTTTTTTCCAGCATTTTCCGGATTTTTGTTGTTTTCAGGAGTTTTTATCATTAATCTAAGTTAAAAATTAATCTTTTTGTTCTCAGACCCTGCTGCATTTCTTTAGTTTTAAACAAAAAGAAAGCACGACATTGTTTATCTACAGAGTTAGAAGACAGCTATCCAAACTGAACAGATGAAAATAAAAGTGTAGTACAGCACCACCCTGTGTTAAATGAAAAGCATCATCCTTTTCATTTCATTTCTTACTGTGTAAGAGCAAAAATCCTTCTGTTTTAAGCACTTAGGCAATTTTAGATGTAATTTTTGTAAACCAAGAACTTAGGCAATTTTAGAAGTATCTTCTTTATTTTTTTTCTTTCTTTTCTTTTTATTTCTACTAAAATCTTTTACTGAAATTCCATGAGAAAACCTTGTATAGATATGCAGTATTGATGCTGGAGACTTTAATGATTTGATTACCACTTTTTACATTCAGATAGGTACAGGCATTTCTCAGATGTATGTGTTGCAAATACTGAAAAGATTCAAATATATGAACCAGACACAGAAGAGCAAAAAAAATCATACTGAATCCTCCAAGGAGCAATTATTTTTGGAAGTATTTCTTTTGCACCAGTATATAGATGCAAAGAGCTTTACAGACGTGCTTTTCTCCCTTGTTTTGTAATGATTCAGATTTCCTTTCTTATGCTGCAGGAAATACTGTTATTTCACCAGGTCACATCCTTCAAGAAGAGACAATACTAGGAGTAGCTTTATATTCCTTCTACAGATTTGATGAGTGTTGTACACGGTTGATAATGGAGCTCCTACCAGCAAACGAACCAACAAAAGTTAAGAAAAAAACCAAACCAAACCCAGGTTAAATACAGCTTTTGAGATGTACTTTTAAATCTATAAGGAATGCTTTCTCACAAATTTGTTGGTCAAGCAGAAATGATTTTAACCTCCTTTTATTCCTAAAGTTCTCACTGTGTTTGATGTTTAACATCTTTTGTTTATTTCTTATACATGATCCTTAAAGAGTTTTAAAAAGATATATCCTTATCTGCATTTCTTAGATCAGAAGACCACAAGAAATGAGGCAAGCTGCCTGGATGAAGCAAGATTCAGTTTCATATCTCCAGTCTCCATCTCTTACAGAAAATGACATTTCCAGCCTTCATACCGTTGTCTATAGGTGCTGATACCCTCTCTTTTGTATTTTTCTTGTAGAAGCAATGTTTTAGGGATGCTGCCAATGGCCAACCCATTTAACAATGAGTTTTTTAATGGTCTTTGTGAAAGAGTGCGTGATGGAAACACACGGACATACTACCGCAAGCCATGGAACGTGGCTGCTCTCAATTACGATGTAAGTTTAAGTCCTGTGCAAAATAAGATGTGTTCAGCTGAATGCTGAATCCTGACATCCTCTTGGAAGACTCAGCATATCTCTTGAGTCAGGCAGCTGCAGCTTTTTAGCATCAAGGTTGCGCTGAAGTCTAGAGGAAAACAAGTTATGTTATCATTTACTTTGGCAGTTAAGCTCAGTTGTGTCAGATAAACTCCCACATGTTCATTGCTGCACCTTTGCACAACAAATGAAACTGTCTGGAATGTTTACAGTATGAGTGGATGAGATGAGCAGAAGTTGTACAGAAAGGATTATGGTACCTAACTTTTACTGGGTAGAGAAGCAATTAAGCTAATTTTTCAAAGGGACTGAAAAAAAAAGGCAGGAATAGTATTATGATACTCTGGTCCTACTTGGTTTTCCTCTATCTTGCTGAAAAAAAAAAAATTAATAGGCTTTTGAGTTTCAGACTATGACTTCCAGTGAGGCCTGAACACCAAAAATGCTGATGATCTTTGCAACATAAATGTCAGATGCATTTCAGAAATCAAAGCAGTATTTTGCTTACCAAAAGTTTTGCCTGTTTCTGCTAGAAGGAATTTCATAAAACAAATACAATTTAAACCAGCTCCTGCCCAAAATTAATAAATCTGACCCAAGAACATTGCTTATATTTGATTTTGAGGTAGAACCATTTTCAGTTATTAAAATTCTATATTCTGCTGAAGTATACTAAAGCAAACAACGCTGAAATAGGTATTACAAAATTAGCTATTGTCTGCTGTAAGAAAGGAAGGAAAAATCATAATTCTGACTCATTTCAGGTGTCAGGACCTATTAGCAGATCTTATCTCCATTCTAGGAAAGAGATGGAGACTATTATTCCTTACACAGAATCACAAAATCTCCTGAGTTTGGAAGGGACTCACAGGGATCATCAAAGTCAACTCACAGCCCTGCACAGGACCATCCCCAAGAGTCACACCATGTGCCTGATAGCATTGTCCAAATACTTCTTGAACTCTGTCAGGCTTAGTGCTGTGGCCACTTCTTTGGGGAGCCTGTTCCAGGGCCCAACCACCCAAGATGCTGGATGAAGCACCTTTTCCTACTATTTGACCTGAACCTCCCCTGACAAAACTTCAGACCATTCCTTCGGGTCTTGTCACTGGTCATCAGAGAGAAGAGATCAGTGCCTGCCCCTCTGCTTCCCGTGTGAGGAAGCTGCAAACCATGTAAGGGAACTGTTAATTCACATAAGTTACCTTGGCAGTGTTAACCCTGAGATTTAATACATGCTGAAATATTGTCATTGCAGTTTTCTCTTCACCGTTGAATAACTGAACTGATTGAGATGAGGTGGTTTGTGGAGGGAATGGTATTTCTGTTTCCATTTGATTTGTTTTAAAAGATAAAAAGAGCTGTAAGAAAATATATTGCTAAGTGATGCAAAAGATTTGAAGTGTTACATAGATTTTTCTATTACTGCCTGTTTTGTTTTCTTATACAACCTTTCATTACCTTTTCTCAAACAAAGGCAGACAAAACCTTGTTTTTTTCTTATACAACCTTTCCATTATCTTTTCTCAGACAAAAGTAGACAAAACCTTGTTTTGTTTTCTCATGCAACCTTTTCATTATCTTTTCTCAGACAAAAGCAGACAAAACCTTCACATCACTATACTACCATGACCGTGCAAAAATGTTTCAAGAGATCTACGTGGAAAGCCAGAACCACTTTAGTGCTGACCTGTCTCTGAAATACACACCTACTGATGGAATCAAAGATGGTATAAAAGTAAATGGCAAGTTTTACTATGGAAAGAATAAAACCTTAAGTTCCATCCTCTATGGCTTCACTGAAAGGGTGAGTTTAATTCACCTAAAGGTTTTAATGAAAATATTCTACAAACAGTACAATTTACACAGTGTATAAACACTGCTCAGAGATAAAAAAAAATCTCTGCATTATCAACCCTGTGTTCAGCACAAATCCAAAACAGAGTTCCACACTAGCCACTGTGAAGAAAATTAACTTTATCCACAAACTAGCACAACATGACATTATGATCTAATCTAGCAGCTGTGTGCTGAGTCATATACAGTTTCTCACCCTGTATGATAAGGTCTGTGATCACAACATGCCATCATGTACAAGGCACATCAACTCCATAGTGCTGATGTGCACCACATGAAAGTAAGAACAGATCTGCCTCAACTAATTCAAATTTTTCAGGTTTGTCAGCCTTGTTATCTAGGATCAGTTCAGAGCTCTGAAGGTCAAATGAATATAAGGGAAAACTAGTATAACTTTCACAACCTGTTAATTAAAATAAAGAGAAAGGTCTGTACTATAAAGATAAATTGACACACAGCACTGACTTTGCATTGGTATGAGTTTTCTTGGGATGGAAAAACTCAAACCATAAATCTCCACAGATGCAAAAGATCAAGTTCTGTAGCTCAAGGTGTTTTGTGGACTGCTTATAGTCTAGTGGCCTGTGATAAGAGTTTTGGCCTCAAATTTTTGCTTGGAGATCTGTTCAGAGGATGAGTCACAACCTGTTACCAGCTGAGTTCCATCCCTGTAAACTCGTGGCCGCAGGGTAGTGGAGTGGTAGTCTCTGGATGGGAACTCTCCAGCGCTAACCTGTAAGTTGAAGCCAGGAGAAGCCTGGAGGCACCTGGATTTGGTACATCCTGGTTGGTAGGACTATTGCATCTGCAAAATTTCCTCACAGTCATTTAGATGCCTGCAGACTTCTGCTAGTCTCAAGCAGCATCTGAGTCAGTAGTTTAAGATCCTTTAAATGGTGCCAGCTGTGTGATGGTCAGGTGCTGGACCCTTTTACAAACCTCCTACTGGGCACTACTGTTAATGGAGTCACATAGGTACTGCAGATAACAGTGGTGTTTGGAAGGCATATGTTTGTTTAGATTCTTAAGTAACTCTTTCACAAGATTTTATTTCACACATTAAGGGCAGTAGCTAGTTTCTAGTTTAGAATATGAAATGAAGCCACCTGGAGTGGATGTTACAAAAGTGTCAGTCACTGTAGCTAGACTTAAAATGCATGTATAGGTCAAATGACTCATGGATATTTTCTCTCATTAATTTTCATTTTATGATGTTATTTTAGGGGGTTTTGTTCTTAATTGGAGCTGTGCCCTTCCTTTTGACAGTCTGAGAATAACAGGGAAGTCATCCAAATAAAAAGAGAGAACTTAGTTCTGCTCTGACTACAAAGACAAAACTCCATCTGACCCAGAGTGGGCAGCTTCTGTTATCTATATAGAATTACTTATCAATGTTATGAAAGTCAGAAAGCCACTTTCAGTAGACATTGTGCTTAAAGAGAAGAACCTGTTGTCAAATAGATCACAAAGGGCTTGCTGAAATTAGTAAGGGAACAGTCCTGCAAAATTGGAAGAACTGAAATTATGTAAGTCTCTTGCTACTTCTTTAGTTTAAATCAGAGAATGTTTAATCAAACAAGTCTGACACTCTTCCAAAACACTAGAATGAATGCCACATTTAAAAGTGCTGCAGTTTCTTTACAAATAAAATAGAACAGATTTTCCTGCTGTGCTGCATACCAGAATGGCACTCTCATCTCTTTTCTTCTTCCTGCATTCAGAACCAAACCTTTCTGCATATAAAAGGAAAGATTCAGCTGGGAAGATTCCAAATTCGGAGTCGTGATGTCCGTCTCTCGGATAGTTTCCTAAATGATTTAAAGTCTCTGCCTGCTGAATATGATAAGGGGGAGTATTTCAAGTTGCTAGAAATTTATGGAACTCACTATGCGGTCTCTGGAACTGTAGGAGGAAAGTATGAACTTGTGTACGTGCTGGACAATTACGCTATGTCTCAAATAGGTATGCATTTTTTTTGCCTTTCTGTGGTAAAAAATGCTCTGGCCAAGTCTCCAGGCATCCAAAGAGATGTATGACAATCAATCTGTCTATACGTTTATATGGAGCAATACTGAGAATAAGTGTGTGCTGCTTGTGGCACACTGGTGACACGACAGAATTACATGAGTTCAACAGATATTACAGCCAGCCTTTCTAACTGACAGAATTATTTGAAGTCTCTCTTTTGAGTCTATAACTTAGAGGGATTTAAAAAAACCTAAAAAAAAAAACAACCAACCAACCAACCAAACAAACAAACAAACAAACAAAACCACAAAAAAAACCAAAAAAACAAAAAACAAACCAGCTTAAAAACACCTCTTGAAAATAGTAGGAATAGTAATTGCTGTGACATGATTTAGAAGAGATTCACAAAGCCTAGAAAATCTGCCTAAACCTTAAATCCAATTTGCTAGGTGATATTTTTTTGTGTTGCAATCACTCTAAAAGTATGGTGGTGACAAAAAACAAGGATAAAATTAAAGTACTTCTTAGAAATCATATGGTGTACTTGAGTGTGTTGAAACTGATTTCATAGCCTTTAATGCTCACACTAGAATTTTCCATGTCCTAGTTAAGATAGGAAAGTAGAAATTTAATCCTCCTTCATGTGCAGTTCAGAAATATGTGGGTTTGTGCTGGATTAAAGTGATCACTCTTGAACAAAGTTTAAAAAGGCAATTCTCATGCTGATTTTGGAGATCAGAAAATAAGTACCTGCTGCATGCAGCACCAGCAACAATATTACTATCAGATATTCAGGCTATGCTAAGGGGCATTGGGTGAAGGTGTCACATATCCCACTGTTAGTTTGTTCAGAACCTGGAGACTGTGGTGATAGATTTTATTTTTTTTTAAGTACAAATTTTAATCACAATTCTTTCTGAACACAAAAGTGAAGTTGCAGATTATACGTTTTGAGTTTATTAAACAGAAAGGAGATGTTGGAGACAGTACTGGATAGAGGAGGATTAGAATTTATGGGAATAGTGTACTTGTAAGAGATTAGTTACCTTGATTAACTTTATGGGGAAAATGAGTGGAGAAACTTGCTTGAGGTTAGGAGATAGAGACTGGGAGAATTGAATAATTTGGCACATAGAAAGTGTAAATGTTAAGCAGATGTGAAAGAAAAAAATCTCAATCTAATAAATGGAAAAAATGGTTCCTAGAGGGCCATTTGCTTTCCACTAGATCAAGAAAAATAGAAATCCATTTTTAATATTTTCCTAATCACTATAGATCATACCTGCATCTGCGCAGGCACTTCAAATACAATCATCCTCATATTCATTTCATGGAAGACGACAAAGCAGAAGATAAATGGGAGGAAGAAAGACATAAGCATTTTCAATAACCCCGAAATTTATTCTCTATGAATAATATCACATTATTTATGGTTGTTCAACCTCTCTAATCACCTTTTTCCACTTCCAGGTGTCACTGTAGAAGATGTGAAAAAATGCCTTGGCTATCACTTAGATGCTGGTGTTGCATATCATAACTTTGATGGAGATTTTAATATTGATGGTAAAAATTGTCAAAAGATTAATGTGAGCAAAGGATGTAAGTATGGCTGTAATTTAATTTATGTCTTTTTCCTTAAGAAAAGATGATACCAGATGTTTCCCCTTTTATAATCAATATAGTTACTGCTTTTAGTAGACCAATATAGGTGAGGCTGACACACTCACAGGCTCTTGAGACAGCCTGAGAACGTGTTCCGAGCACACACACACGAACACACCTACATGATGGATACAGACATACACACATCACTGGCCACATAAATAAATACAGACAATAGTATAGCACTCAGGCACCAACAGCTTCATCCTGTTATCTGATCGGGGTGAAAGTCTTTTAGTGGGTAATATCACAGAAACACAGGATGGTGGATGTTGGAACAGTCCTTTGGAGGCCATCTTATCCAGCTTGCCAGCTCACACAGGTTCATCTAGAGCAGATGTTCTTCCCAGGCAGCAGAGGCCTCAGAGACTTCAGGCCCTCCACAATATACATGGATAGCTAAGACAGATCCCTCTAACAGCTGACGTTAAATATTCAATTGAGCCAGCAACTGGATTGTTAGAGTCTCCCATTACTCACTCACAGATATACAACACGAGGCCCACAGCTTTGCTTCCACCACTCAGGTGGCACAGACCACCTGATGCACCCCAACACACACCCACATACATGCTATGGATGTCTCCAGTAAGTGGCCTTAGTCACCCAGTCTACCCAGCAATTGGTGCTTGAATCCTCTTACCTCCAGTTGCCTTAGACAGATATACCCTCACATGCAAACAGGTCTCTCAGTCAAATCAGGGACCTTGAGGTCTCTCCAGTATTTGGCCTAGAAACCCTGGTCACTCCAGTAGCCATCTCTTCCACTTGTCTCACTCTGGAGACATAGAATCATAGAATCACAAAATGGTTTTTGAATGAGATTATCTGGTTCTAACACCCCACCATGGGACGGGATTCCACACACTAGATCATGTTGCTCAGGCTCCCATCCAACTTGGTCTTGAACACTTCCACAGATTAGGCATCCACAGTTTCTCTGGACAACCTGTTGCAGTGCCTCACTGCCCTCTGAGGAAAGAACTTTTTCCTATCATTTAATCTAAATCTCTCCTCTTTTAGTTCAAAACCATTCCCATTGTTCTGTCACTATTTAGCCATGTAAAATAATCACCCTCCTCTCTTTTTGTAAGCCCCTTCTAAGTACTGGAAGACTGCAATGAGGTCTCCCCAGAGCCTTCTCTTCTCTATGCTGAACAGCCCCAACTCTCTCAGCCTGTCCTCAGAGGAGAGATGCTGCAGCACTCTGTCCATTTCTGTGGCCCTGCTCTGGGCTTGCTTCAACAGGTCCATATCTTCCTTGTGCTGAGGACCCTGAGCCAAACACAGGTGATGTCTCACATGAGCAGAGCCGAGTGGCAGAATCCCCTTCCTCTTCACGCTGCTTTTGATGCAGCCCAGGACACTATTGGCTTTCTGGGCTGTGAGTGCACATGGCCGGGTCATGTCCAGCCTTTTATCCACCAGCACCCCCAAGTCCTTCTCTGCAGGGTTTCTCTCAATGAGTTCTTCTTATGGTCTGTACTTATGTCTAGCATTTTCCAGCTCAGGTGCAGCACCTTGCATTTGGGCTTGTTGAATTTCATGAGGTTTTGGTGGGCCCACTTGTCAAGCTTGTCTGGGTCCCTCAGGATGAAATCCCATTCTTCTGTTGTGTCAACTGCACCACTCAGCTTTGTGTAATCTGCAAACTTGCTGAGAGTGCACTTGATCCCACTGTCTATGAGATTGATAAAGATATTAAATAGCACTGGTCCCAAGACATTCCTGAGGGACACCACCCATCACTTGACTTCCACTTGGACATATGCCCATTGACCACAACCCTCTGGCTGTGTCCATCTGTACAATTCCTCACCCACCAAATGGTCTATCCTCCAAAATCCAAATCTCTTCAACTGGGAGATAAGGATGTTGTGTGGGACTGTATCAAAGGCCTTACAGAAGCCTAGGTAGATTACATCAGTTGGTTTTCCCTTCTTTCCATTGCAGTCACTCCATGATAGAAAGCCATCAGATCTAGGCCAGAGTAACATTTTCTTTGATACCTGACTCCCAAGCCACTTACCTGCTAGTCTGGTTTAATACCTTCTAGTGATCACCCATGGCGTATCTATCCTCACTTGCTCCAGTTGTTGGCACTACAAACACCAGGTCCCTGTCAATCGTTGTCCAACCCTGGATGCTGGCACACAGATCTCCATACACATGCAAGCACACAGAATAGAGTCCCCTTGCCGTAGAAAATAGTTAGAAATGGAGTTTAATGGTAAGTCAGGACAGACTGCAAAGATAAAAGGCAGTACATGGCAAACAAGCTTACTGATCAGTCACCTTTCCATACAGAATCAGCCCCATTTTTTTACTTTTATGCCTCTATCTTCCCATATTTGTTCCTCCCAAAGCCACCATGATCACCCCTTACCTCTTCATTGACACTCCTCTAAATATATGCCAATTATTTAAGTTTGTGCAATCCCAAAATACCATTCTATGCATCCAGAGAGCCATTCCATTGAGTCCTCTGGGTCTTACTCATTCCCAGCCTCATCCTGCAGTGCTAATGGCTCTGCTGGGACAGGCCTCGGAGGAGTCAAGGCAGGGGCTCCCTTTCTCTGATTAGCCTAGCTGTGTTCCCTTGCCTGTCACTGTTTCTCTCTGCTCCCTTGTGTGTCTGGAGATGGGCTTTGTTTCACATGACATAAAAATTGCAGAAAGGAAGGAGATTTACTACTGAGTGCAGAAGAGGCTATTTATTTCAGTTCTCTGCTCTCATGTTTGAGTTATGAAGCAAAAGATGCTACTCTTGTATTTGTTGCCCTTTTCTGGTTCTGCTCAGGTGACACAGTAGCATTACTCATATTATCTTCGGCTTGTTGTCAAATGACTATGATCTCCACAATATCTTTCAGTTTGTCATATGCCTTCTTTTCCTTCCAGATATAGGGTTTTCTACTTTAATTGCAAAATAGATTTCCTCCCACATAAAAGGTATGAGCAAAGAAAGACTGAATTCTGCTACGACCAGTTAGTGAAGGGTTCTCTCTACAATCATTTTACAAGGAGGGACTGGTAGAACTAGAGGGACAACTGTGCTTCTGGATGCATGGGCATTAAACACTCTTCTTCTTCATCCTCTCTTTTTTCTTTCTGTAGCTGAATATACTGATGATGCAGTCATTGATGATGTCTTTTCCTTAGTTGAGGGGGGAAAGATTGACTTTTCAGTTAAAATAGAAGAAATGTTACTACGAGGATCCAAAATGGTTAATGTAGAGGATTACGTAGAGTGGGCGAAATCTTTGGTTGATGCTCCAGTAGTGATACAGCAACGGGTAAGTACAGCTTATTCAAAGCTGCAGCTTTTACAGTTTCAAAGTTTTGTTCTAAGATGGAGCTAAGATGCCAAGTTTATCATGAACTTTAAGGTATTTTCTTCATCTTGACAGTTTCATCAGATGTTTACCCTAGTGATGGTTATATAAAAAGAACTGTGGAAAAATGTGTTTTGCATGGGCTTTTTTCTTCCGCAGCCTTCTCCAATACATACACTTGTTCCAGTTAAGATGAGAGATGCATATTTAAAGAAACAAAATTTGGAAAGAGCAATTGAAGACTACATTACCGAATACAGTGTGTGCAAATGTGAACCCTGCAAAAATGGAGGCACCGTTGTGCTGGTAGATGGAGCCTGTACATGCCTGTGCTCAAGCTATTTTAAGGGAATTGCTTGTCAAATTCCCAAATCTACATTAATTGAAGGTGAGTAAGTACTCAGAATAAACTAAAATGAGAATATTTGTTGTTAACAATATCCTGACAAAAGGAGCCTTCATAAGGACAAAAGTATTTTATAGCACTCCATTATACCTACTGCTGGCAAATCTCGTGGATATAATGGTGTGGAAGTAGGTGTAAGTTGCGGGGTTCTTTCCATAAAGAAGGTACTCTAATTATAGACTTCATTGTCCCACACACATTACTGTGTCTGGAATGATGTGAAGTTCCAGTACACAGGAGCATTGTTGAAGCATGATGCAGCAGTGGTAAACTGCTTTCAGGGAAAAAGCAATCCCAGCATGTCCTAAACTATTTTGTCTTCAGCCTTCTGCGAAAGTGTTACATTTGCAAACATACAATCACATTTCAGAATTACTGTGCTAGCTTAATATTTGGTTGGTCTGCAAAAGGGAAGAGGAAGAAGAATGCAGTTCAGCAACTGACAATGCAAAAAATTTATTGTGCAGTAAATTCATTCTCTATGGCCAGGTTTTTAAAGCACAGGTGCTCAAAATGATCCTTAGAACTTGATTCCTAGATGAAAAAATTGTTGAAAGCCTGTTGCTCTTAAACAACACCACTGACAAGAGCATTCTCAAAAGCTAAATCTGTGCTTTGGGTTGCGTGCTGGAGGCTGCAATGATCTGCAGAGTCACCATAGCTCAGAATGTAAGAGTTGAATCATGTATTCCTTGAGAGAGGTAGGTGAACTAATCCTAGTATTATGGTGTCTTAATACCAGTTATCATTGATGGAGGCTGGAACTGTTGGAGTGCCTGGTCCCCCTGCGTCAATGGAGAAAGCACTCGAACTCGCCAGTGTAATAATCCTGAACCAGGACCTGGTGGCAAACCATGCCAGGGAGAAAGCATTGAAAAACGGCCCTGTGAAGAAAATAAATAGCTGTGCTCCTCAAAAACAGGTAAGCAGCTTATTTAAATGTGTAATTGAAGTTTATAGTAAATGATCAGAAAATACTTGGAGCATTTCAGAGACATGGTTGACGAAGTGCAGGGCAAGTCCACTTACACCTTTCATTTAAATAATTTAAACCTGTTCTGATATAGCTGATCAGCCACCTTGTGTCAAATTTGAGAATGGTTAGATTTGTATTTGAATGCCAAGTAATTTTGTATTACAGAACTCAAGATTACAACGGATTTCTGGATAAGAACAGACTAAAAATACAATTCCTAAAAACCCAGATTTCACGTCCAGTTAGACTTCCCATCAAACAGTTTATATTTTAGAGAGAGGGGAAAAGACATATTTCCCAGAAAAAAAAATATTAAGACAGTTCAGGAAACCAAATTCTCTTCCTTGATAAATAGAATACTTAAATCCAACAAAGCTAGTGTTCTAACAATTTTGGAACTTTTAGCTTGGAGAATTTTCTTCACCTGCTGAAAACAAGAAGATTGCAGTCATATACAGTTGTATATGACAGTAATAGTTCCTATGCCTTGGAGGAAGTGTTTGGGTTTTCTGCTTAACATATTGGCATAAGTTCTTTATCTTCTGGGAAGTCACAAGAAGGAAGGGGGTGGCAAGATAGGGAAAAGATGTTGAATGTTTCCCCAGTGAAAGTCCTTGATGATAATTCTTGCGATATCACCTCAACTTGTACCAAAAATATATAACTGAAGACTTCTTCTATGTCTTCCCACTCTCAGCTTCAGTACAGTTCAGCTACATCTAATATTTTACTGCAACCTGAAGAAAACATGGCCAGCAAGGCTTAACACCACTGATAGGCCATCTAGCCCTACATAAGGGAACTGAAAAAAAGGGAATTATAATTATTCATGACACATGCATATTTATGTATGTTTCCTGTGTTATGTCATAGTAAAACCTCTGAAAAAGCAATAACCTATCTTTGGCTTCTGATATTTATATGCCTTCAGCCATGTGGTGTACTCACTCTCCAAGCAGAAGTCTGATAGTGCCATTTTCTGAAAATCACACTGTGTGTTTTGATCCATACTTTATAGAACCACAGAGTGGGTCAGGTTGGAAGGGATCACATTGGATCTTCTGGCCCAACTTCCCTGCTCAAGCAGGTCCATCCCAGAGCACATGGCACAAGATCGTGTCCAGCATTCATTAGAATCGTTTTACATTAGTCATATTTGAGGCACAGTGAAGTCATGCTCTTGGTGAGCCATAAGACTGCAATTTCTCTTAAATTTTAACCAATAATATATTGTGGCTACTACCTTCTATCACTTCTTCATTATTTTTTCTTCTTTTTTAGAAAAAAATAATGGATTTCAAACCAATTCCACCAATCACAGTTTCTGCTGTCCAGCCAGATACCTGAGAGCAGTGGAATGGCATGATAAAAGTACCTGCAGCTTAAATGATCATAAATCAAAACAAAGTAATACACCAATAAACGTATTAACAGTCATATGATGATCCACTGGCTATGGTCAATCTTTTATTTGTCTGTGGCTGTCATTAGAGCATCTATTCCCCATCTTTGTTAGTCAATGGCAGAACGGTGTCCCTTTACAGCTGTTTTTTCATAATTCTTTGTGGTATGTTTTCAAACTGATTTTCAAGAATTCAAATCCCACATGAGTATCAGAATAATGTATATGATATCCATTATGTTAGTAAAGAACCTGTGAGAGTCTTGTCTTCAGCAAAACACCCTTGTGGATTTATTTCCAGCCCTACATTTTACATCTAATTCACACCATGAATCACCAGCCTGTTTATGAAGACATGCAGCTTTGCTAGACTTATTACTTCTCCCAATGCTGAATTGTCCCACTTTGTATCTTGAGTATGTCAGTGAGTTAAAGGTTATTATATTAAATCAGAGGCACATTAGAAAGGGATAGAGGAATTGTTATATTACCATCCTTTTTTTTTAGCAGAACTTCCAAAGGAAACAAGGCTAATCCAATTGTATTGTCATTGCACCCACCTGTCAGTCTCCCTCAATTATTTTTGAACCTAGTAGACAATTACTGGAAAATTTGTCTGAGGTGGGGAGGAAGGATAGTTCTCAAAGAGGTTTCATTTAAAAGGGCAGCTAAGTTGAGAAAACAAAAGGAAATTAGTGTCTCTGTTGAGCAAAAGATATCCATGTTAACTTAGCTATAGTACTAGACTTCAGAAAAGCTACATGGAAGCAAGATATAAGGAAACAGTCAATAACAAAGGTATATGAGGGATTGTGTGGTTTGGAAATATAGGAATAGTAAAAGTCATCTGATCAATGAGATTGGTCCCCTGCATATTGACAGTCCAGGTCTGGTAAAGTCCCCTAGAACCTTGTTTATGTGCTTCCTGCCCACCACAAGTAGCTCTAAAGAGTCTGAGTATCCAAGATCAAACATTATGAAAGAAAGCAGGAAAGAGAACTGTTTCCCAGGTCCCTATGGTAGGAGAGCATTCAAAAAGTCGAAGTGTGCTGACAGCCAAAGGAAGTGAATCATACATACCCTGTGCTACAAAGGCAGAACAAAAAAGGCCTTTCACTGCTCCCTACCACCATTAACAGTTCCCTTCAGACCACGGGTGTGGCAACAGTTTTCCCCTAATAGGGTTCCACTTGTTCATGTTCCCAAGTGCAAACAGGATTTTTTCAATGGATGCAATACACATGCCCCTAGCAATCCTTCAGTCTTCCTGGGACATTTCAGAAAGCCTCAAACCTAATACTTAGGCTCTTTATGGCGTTGTGCACCTGTAATAAAGCTGTTTTTGGTGGAAGATCCAATGTTACTATCTCATAGTGGGAATAGCAGAAATCTTCATCAAGAGCAGAGGTATCAGGTATCAGGAAATTCCTATGAGAGTGATTCCTAAGGAGCTGGACACAAAAACATTACTGCTTAAATAAAATACAGAGGATAGGTCTAGGGAAACCTACCACACACAATCAAAGACTTAACACTCAGTGTGAACAGACATGGTACCAGGTATCTTTCCAGTACAGTTAGTATTCTATATCTGATAAACAGATTTTTTTTTTTTCTAGCAGCAGAATTCTCCCTCTACTGTGATTAAGTCTCTTTTATAAATTTTTCATGTAGCATATGGAAGCCTTACTGATCTACTTCCTCCTCTATTCTTTTTGAAAGATCATTCCTGAATGTGAATGACCATAAATGAATATAAATTCCCATTTTAAATGTACTTCTAATCTATTTATACCCATTTTATTTCAATCCCTTTTTTTTAATAAATAATCATTCTTGTCTCATACTTGCAAATCTTCTCATAACCTTTCACCTCCACTTTCTTAAGTTACCCAAGTTACTCTTTCAATGTCCTTTCAATGTCTTTCAGAAGCCAGGAAGTCCTTCTAGTCATATTAGAAGATTTCACTTCTAATTCTGTCAGTTTAGATTCATGGTCACTCAACATAATTTACTAGAACAGCACACAAGACTCTAACTGAGCCCTCATCAGAGCTCTGCACAAATTATTTTCCTTCATCTCCCAAAATCATTGGCCTGCTGTGAACTCGAATTATATATGCTTTTCACGTGTGCATGTCATGTGTCCCCCAGGGATCATTGCTGGGCCCAGTCCTGTTTAACATCTTTATTGATGATCTGGATGAGAGGATTGAGTCCATCATTAGCAAATTTGCAGACAACACCAAGTTGGGAGGGAGTGTCGACCTACTGGAAGGCAGGAGGGCTCTGCAGAGGGACCTGGATAGGCTGGAGAGTTGGGCTGATTCCAATGGGATGAAGTTCAACAAGGCCAGGTGCCGGGTCCTGCACTTTGGCCACAACAACCCCTGCAGCGCTACAGGCTGGGCACAGAGTGGCTGGAGAGCAGCCAGGTAGGAAGGGATCTGGGGGGTCTGACTGACAGTGGCTAAACATGAGCTAGCAGTGTGCCCAGGTGGCCAAGAAGGCCAATGGCATCCTGGCCTGCATCAAGAACAGTGTGTCCAGCAGGAGCAGGGAAGTGATTCTTGCCCTGCACTCAGCACTGGTGAGGCCACACCTGGAGTGCTGTGTCCAGTTCTGGGCCCCTCAGTTCAGGAAGGATATTGAGGTGCTGGAGCGGGTCCAGAGAAGAGCAACGAGGCTGGTGAAGGGACTTGAGCACAAGTCCTGTGAGGAGAGGCTGAGGGAGCTGGGGTTGTTTAGCCTGGAGAAGAGGAGGCTCAGGGGTGACCTCATCACTCTCTACAACTACCTGAGAGGAGGTTGTAACCAGGTGGGGGTCGGTCTCTTCTCCCAGGCAATCAGCAGTAGGACAAGAGGGCAGGGGCTTAAGCTCTGCCAGGAGAGGTTTAGGTTGGATATTAGAAAGAAGTTCTTTACAGAGAAAGTGATCAGGCATTGGAATGGCCTGCCCAGACAGATGGTGGATTCACCGTCCCTGGAGGTTTTTAAGATGAGGTTGGATGTGGCACTGAGTGCCATGATCTGGTAATCACAGTGGGGTTGGATCAAGGGTTGGACTTGATGATCTTGGAGGTCTCTTCCAACCCAGTTAATTTTATGATTCTATGCTTCTATGATTCTATGAATCTATGTTAGTGACTCATTCTCTACCTGGCACAAAGCAAAAAATCTTTTCTTAACCCTAAGTTTATTACTTTATTATTAAACTCTGGTTAAATTCTATCACTTCTATACACAAACTCTTCCTATCCTTCCTTTATAATAACTTGATTGTCCTCAGGAGGAGTAGAACCATTCATTCAGATAACACTGGTGTAGGTGCAGCTCTTGAACCACAGCCCTGACCCAGGTAATGGATCAGATAGGATCAATCCCATGACCAATGTCTGGTTGCTTACAGAACACTGCAAGTAATCCCAGTTCAACTCAGTAATTCCCTTTCCAGGGCTAAACTGATATTGCTTTAGTGATCTCCTTATTTACCTTGTAGTCTTTCTGACAGATCACATCCTCTCCCAGTTCCTATAACTTAAATTTCAACAAATGACATTATATGATATAATCTGTTTAAGCCTAGATGGATTCAATTGAATTGTATTTTGTCTAATATATCAGCTAAACTTCAAACCTCCTCTTCTTTCCTTCACCTCTTTTCTTAAGACCTCTGTTTTAGTTTTTGGGGTTTTTCTAGGTCCAGCTCAATAATGTTATGGCTATATGTCCTTTATTCATTCAATTTTTGTGCATAGAAAGTCTGCAGCACTGCAGAATTTCAATAGCCTGTCAGACCAGAACCACCCTATGGTTCTGGTAGTGTCAGCTATGAAGAGATTAATAATTAAAGGGTAATTGGTAGAAATATAGTTCAGCTTACTAGAGGTGTAAAATTACTTCAGATTTTAAACATCCATGAAAGTCTGAGCTAGAAGGAGACATGTACGGCGTTGATAGGGAAGTCTAAATACATGAAAATTCAGAAACGCTGAGTTTGAAAGACAAAACAATAATGTATTTATCTTTTTAGTTCAGTTGAAGATTACTGAAAACATAACTACATAATTTTGTCACCAGCATAGACCTAGTCTTCATAAGAATCTTTGAAGTCATAAAAGGAAAAATAAAACCCATTTGCTATCATTTGTGCTCCATGTGGGTTCAGTGTCATCTAAAAAAAAGCTGTTTGAAGATCACATAGGTCTCACGACCTTGAGATAAGCATACTTGATTAGAGTTCGTCCTGCAAAACAAGAATTTGCTGATAAATTTTCCAGTAAAACCTGGTTAGACTGCATAAACTTTTACAAAAAGAGACATTAACATCAAAGGGGAAAGAACATCTTTGACTGCCATCCAGGACATCCTCTGCAACAGACTTATAGACTCAGAAATATCTTAACTATGTAAGTACAAAGCTCTATTCATTTTCTTTTTATTACATGGATGCATAAGATTTAGCACTATAGCTGCAATGGATGTGACAGCAAAACTTTAAATTTATTTTTAGAAGTTTTCAAATCAATTCTTTGCTTCTGACTTCCTGCTTTTGAGGGCATGCAGAAATGTTGCTTTGGTTTTTTTTAGCTCCATCATGTAAATTGGTTTGTATGTTCCTAAAAAATTCAAAATTAAGGAAAAGAAAATGGCTTCTTCTAAGGCCAACATGACAAATTAGTTTGTGTATCTATAGGAATTCCATAGTCAAGTGTTAATGTGACACTGAGCAAGAAATGGGAATGGGCCACACCTTCTAATTAGATTTTCAGAAAGCAATTGCATTGTTTTATCTCGATTCAGCAGGACTTTGTAACTAAAAAGATAAAAGGGATTTTTGTCTGTGTGAATCATCAGTGTAGTTCAAGGGGGAGTGTGGTGTGTTAAGCTACATTTGGAGCATCTTGCTGTGCTGTTGCTTGGTGATTTCTTGTTGCCACAGGGGGTTTTTTAACTTGTATTTAAGGAGTCCAAATATATACAGAACCTTTTGTTTGCAAAACCCTACTTTAAAATTTGCACAGCAAGCACACAGTTACTCTCCTGGCAGGGTTCAGGTGCCTTGCTGCTTTCACAAAAGGTTTGTTTAGAAACAGTATTTATGCAAATATATTGAACACAGAACTTCTGCCTTTGCCAAATGCAGCATGAAAATAAGCAACAACTTACAGTCCCGCTATTTTGATTTGATTTTGATTAGTTGGACAAAATTACTTCCAGAGGTCCGTGCTTGCCTAAATTATATTGGAAAGCTGGGATTTGTGTCGGGAGTGACTTCTCCACTGGAGGTCACTGTTGTGCAAGAAACCGGGAAGGGCACGCAGGAAAAACACACGCGGTATCTGTACCAAGCGCTGGGCGGACTGGTTCCCGTGAGACCCACCAAACTCAGGTGGGATCCATCGCACTGTGTGTGACAGAACAGGGGACGCACGGCGCACTTATCTTTCATTTCCCAGATAGCACATTCCAAAAAATGGGATAAAAAGGGGAAAGGGAGGTTAGCAGAAGAGCCTTGGAAAAAGACATGAGAGTAGGGCAGGATGGAAGAAACGGGTTTTTTTGAAAGAAACTCTGTATTCTAGTATGATTTTGTGTACGCTCTCTGCCTAAGACGGTTTTACCAAAAGGGCTTCCAGCAGATGGAAACCTAATCTGCTGATGAATGCATTCTTATTTAACCTAATTTGCACTTCCTTTTGTTTATAGGTTTATATCACAGGCTAATCAGTCACTTTAAAGAAGAGGTTTTTTTACCAACTTGCTAAGCATCAGGGGTCAGAATTCACTGATAGTCAAAATGAAGTTTTTTTAAAAAACCTAAAGAATAGGGACACAGAAAAGGATGTCAGGCATTATGCAAATACCAGGCAGAAAGCCTTTGGAAATTTTTTTTTTTGAACCATTCTTCTTAAAACTGCTTGGATTAAACTGTGTTTTCATTTTTAAACTTTATTGTCTTTAATTAAAATTGCTTCTGAATTACTTTGTGTTTATGCTGGGGCAGCATCTTCTTTGCTGTTGTTATTTAGGCCACATCACTGTCTTTATTACTGGTGTCTGGAACTATACAAAACTATGAAATCATATAAAGGGCTGCATTTATTTTTAATTAAACTTTAACATTCTAGGTTGAATGTTAAAGTTTTTCTAGATGCCTAACTCTAAGTCTGAAAATCCTTGAAAATGTGTTGCTTGTATAAGAAAATCCACAGTAGAGAATGTGAGATTGTCTACATGAGAGAAATTCTGAGGTTTGGCCAGTTCTACGACTGGTCAAAAGGTCCAATACACTAAACCTGTCTGTTCCTCTTGCTTTGGTATTTTCTCTTCCTCCTGGTATCAGCAGCTGGGGCGGGATGCCGAGGGGGAACCAGCTGGAAACAGATTTCTTCACTCCTCGTTCAGGCAAATATAAATATAGCAATAATAGGCAATGGTTATAAGATTATAGAGATTGAATAACAACAGTTTGAAAGATCCACAGCATTAACTTGAGGAGCCAGGGAATCCTGCATTTTAGTTGTCCCCAAACAGCATCTGTAAAGGCTGGCTGTTCCTATAAACATGACAGACACAAGGGAATGCTATTAATTCAGACATGACCACAACAAATTTCAGTCAGAAGTGCTAAAACTGCCTTCAGTTTTTTTATCATACAATGGAAATGCAGCAGCACATTTTTCAGGAAGTCTAGGCCTGCCTGCAGACACAAAGATAATGCAGACTGACACTGCCACAAACATTGGTTCCCATAGTGTGCTGTAGCAATTGCAAACAGAAACTCCTGACAGTGTTCAGAAACATCAAGTTTTTACTGAAAATCAGTTACTTTTCAAAGTGATTCTGTAACAGGATCACTGCCATGGTGAGGAGGCACTTCTACCCAGAATTCCTGACCCGGGGGAGTGGCATAGCATTGTAAAGCAGGAATTCTGGCTCTTTACCTTGCCTTCTGATGAGGTTTATGTACTCAAAATATTACCCCCAGCAGCAGCATGAAACCAGTCCGTAGCTTTTTCAGTACAAGTATGTATGGATATTATCAATAGAGAAATATGTCATTTTTGCTCTTGTGCCCAGCCTTTCACCAGGAGGCAAAAGCCCTGTGAGAGAGAGGAGGAGGCAGGAATCAAAGTTGCAATGAAAAATGTTCCTAACATTGACTTTCTCTTACTTGGTGTTCCACATATTTGCATGTATTGTTATATTACAGAACAACATTATTCTGACTTATGAAGATTTTCAAATTGTCTTTAATGATATTAATGCATCTGTCTAAAGGTGGTCTCCCACATACCTCCCTCATCATCTTCGTGGCCTCCACAGGACCTACTCCAGTAGCTCCTTGTCTTTCCTGAACTGTGGAGACCAGAACTGAATACAATAATCCAAATGTGGCCTCACTAAGGCTGAGAAGAAGAGGAAGATCACCTTCCTCAGCCTGCTGGCCACACTCCTCCCTAGTGGCCAGTGTTCTGACCCTTTTTCTTCCCTTTTTTCTTTCTTTGGTTTTTGACAAATTTAATTCCAAAGCAGGCACTTTTCCCAAAGGTACATGAAAATAGTTGAATAAATGGTCTGATAAAAAAACATATTTAAAGTTGCAGTTGTAAAATTTGCACCTTGTAACAGTAACACCATTGCTGTGCTGGGCTTCAGATGCTGGCTTTGTTCTATGCAGAGAATGTATGGCATGTTTGCAGATGGCATGTTTATAGATGATAAGACATTAACATTATTGATATTCTGGTCTTGCTTGAACATTATCTTGTGATTTTTTTGCTGCTGCTGTTGTTTTTGTGAAAAATAAAAAAGGCAAAACAACTTTACATTGCTTTCAGGCTTGAGGATACTGTGCCTGAAAGTATTAATTCCTTCATATTCTTTCTTCACCTAAAAATAGCTAATTTCTCTAAATCATTCACAAACATCCTTCACAGAAGTAGGTGGAAAAAAACCAGAGAAGTTTCAGGAAGCTGCTGCACCTGCAAGTGTAAAATGAAGCATTGCAGATGGGCAACTTTCACAGCAATTGCACAGCATAAACTATTATTTTCATTGTGTTTGTTGCAATTTATATTCTCAGCAGCATTCTATCAGTCAGGGTTATACTTATTTGTGCTTACTGGATAAAAGAGAAGACAGAAGGAACTGTCTAGCATTCAGAGCTGCAGAGATGAGCTAATTCTTTGATCATTGCATGATTTGTAGAGAGCTGATATTGTGAGCAAACCCTTGCAGTGATGTTTACCCATGCAAAATGACTGTATTGTTACAGTTAGCATCTTAAAACAGTCAAACTGTTTTAAGACTGCCAGATAGAATAGCAAGTCACAAAGTCTAATCTGCCCTAGTACTAATAATAAATGCTTTATCATCTGTGATGATTGTTTATTTTCACAAAATATATATTATTTTATAAATACAGTGTTTAGCAGAATGAATAACATAAAGAACTTCCACTTAAAAAAAAAATTATATTATGTAACCAAAAAATCAGTTATCATTGGCATGTAGCAGTGTTTTTAACTCAAATAAGTTCCATCCAGCACTCTAATAAACTTCTGAACATACTAAGATAGAAGTTTTAGTAAAATTAAGCTGGAAACATAATACTCTTCCAATCTTTTATTTTGACATCTCAAAACTTCTAAAAAATACTAAGAAGGTTGTGCAGAACAGCCTTTAATTAACTCAAAGACACAAAGCTTTTCTTCTGCACTCTCATCCCTGTGCAGACCTCCAGCAACTTCACTGAGCTGCATTTTGTAGAGGGTTCCGCCTTTGTGGTTTGGGTTTACCTTTGGCACAAACACAAGTTTAGAATTTCTTGTGAAGCTTATCTTCTCAATGTCAGCTTTCCTATCCTATATCATCCTTCTAACTCCTTGACTTGTGTAACAAACACCCTTCTGAAGAAGGACAGAAGAAACCTATGATCGCAGTTTTTAAAAAAGAAGTATCTCCACATTGCAGAAGTATTAAAAAGCTGGCTAGTGGAATCCCTTGAGATCCTACTGGCATAGGTGGTAGCAAATGAACACTTCAGCTGACACCTGATGAGTGGGTGCATGCAGGATTCTCAGTGGTAGCAGGGCACTAGACTTGAGGTCAGCCCAACCTTTATGCCTGTAATTGCCACACACATTTCCTTAGCTGCTATTCTGTGAAGACTTGAGCTTGTGTGCACCAACAGAGCTTTTCAGGGCTACACAATATGGGGAAAATGCAATATTTTTGAACATCACATGGTGCATACTGCTGATGGCAGCAGCCAACCAGTCTGAACACACTTTAGTTCCCTTTTCCTACACCACTTCTTGCCTAATATCCTGAAGAGAACAGTTCTCTCTACTGTTCATGATAATGAAAACCACAAGTGACATTCTTATGCAAACATTCTCAGAGAAGCAGAACTCCTCTCAGCAAACAGACCAGGCTGAAATACCCGTAGATTGTTGCATTGAAGGAGATAATTTTTCTGCCTGTATCTAAATACTGGAGAGCTTTGGGGTATCCAGGTAAACTGTTGTACGTGTTTGTCTTAGAAATAAGTGTGCAAAGTTCCCAAAGAAATAGAATCAGTACAAGGTATAACATGTAACTTAATTAACTGGAAATTTATTTGTGGATTCTGCTTGGAATTAGCTTAGGAGCTGAAAAGATACTAAGCTGACAAAACATACTTTCATCTGTCAAAGTTTTGTTCACTGAAATTTTACTGAGTGGTCCTGATTTAAGTCAACTTTCTGTTTTGAATAATAGCGTAAATGGTATCACTCAAAGGCAGTTATTTTCTTTTAACTCCTTTTGCATTATTTGTGGTTTGTTTCTTTGTGGGTGGGGTATTTTTGTAATATACCATACTCTGGATTGAGATATCAGTGTGTGCACTTTGTTAGTAGCTGGTCATGAAAAATATTTTCATTTCCACCCATGAGTCAAAATGCCTTACTCAATGCCTTAAAACTGCATGAAATTTCCTTTACAATTGTCTGGGATCCTGAAATTCTCGAAATAAGAGTAGGAACTTTGCAGCGACAAGAACCTAGGTTTTTCTGCTTTGGAACTTAGAGCTGTTACATTCACTTTAGTGGGATAACCAGTCAAATAAGACATTTATAAGGTCATTGTATGCACTATATATGAATAGGGTTCTAAGTGAGAGAGATCCGTTTGTTACATTTCTGAGCAGATTACTAGAGAGTTGAATTATTCTGAAATAAATAATTTATAAAGAAACCATATGAGAAAAATAATTTAAAAAAAGAAAATTAATAAGTTTAATGAAGTTCTGTGTTTATACAAAACTGTGTTACAGAAATGTAATCGTTTTTCACAAGGGGATAATAAATAGTCTGGTTTTACTGGATGGAAGATCTTGATGGAAAATTAAAACCACCAGGCTTCTGTGTAGAAGACTGAGTTGCCAATGGTTGATAGTTTTTCTGATTTTGACTTAGATATGTATCAAAAAGAATCAATAAGAGAGAAACTTTGTGATGAGCTGATCAGGACATAGGATGAAGAGATGATCATGCACAGACTGATGTTTAGACCTCACTGATGCTTAGACCTTAGTCTGCACAGGCTGTGACAGCAGTAGTTTGGGACTAAGCTGGGATGTTATCTGGCTGTTCTGGTCCGGCCCTGTGCCCTCACTAGTCCTGGTCTCAAGCTCATCTGGAGCTGTCCTTTTACGTTCCTGCAATATGAGTAGTTGGTCTCATGATTAGATAGAAGATGAGAAAATGTGACGAGAGAGAGGTAAAAAAGTTGTAGAGCAATGCACAGTGGAAAAGATACAGAATACACTGTGATCAGGCTGGAACAGACTTGTGTAATTTTGACAACTGCACATTCTCTCGTGCATGCTGGTTTTGTCTTGTTGGTGCTAGAAGGATGTTTGAAATACTCTCAGAGTAACGTGGAGGCTGTCAGCCTCTCACTGGAGAATCCCTTAGATTTTTATCTATCCTTTCCATCGTAGCAATCTTCCTTTTACAAAAACCCCAGGCAGCAGAATAGCCTGCCTCTTCATTGTTTAGTGTGAGATGAGGGTTCATTTCTCTTTATACCAAACATTGTATTAGAAGGTTTTCTTGCTTGGGCAAACTCTGGTTTTTTGTCTTCTTTTCATGTTTCTGCTACCTACATTACTAGGTAGAGAGCACTGCAAAACCTCAACTCCACTTTCTAAATGCTGCACTTACTCTTAGAGCGAGTCTTCTTTAACTAGAAATTATAGCTAGACTTGAAGAAAAGCAATGCGGAAATTATTTCACTCTTCTGGAAACAACAAAGTTGAATAATTGTAATTCTGAAGCCTCTCTGGAAAAGGAAATAGTCAAGCAATAATTTATCATTAATTCAGAATAGCACTAGCATCTAAACAAGAAACTACATTGCCTCAAGCCCATTAACTTCAGTAGAAGTTATATCAAGCCTTTATAAGGTTGCAGAATAATTTTCAGATCTGTATTTTTCTCTAATTTTCATATGCAATCTTCCTTGTCTTTTCTGCCCAGTTCATTATTCCTTATATCCTATCTTATGTATGCCCAGGCAAAACAAATATTTTTCAATCAAGCTTCTAGTTGAGACTGAAAAATTCATAGTAAATACAGAAAGAATACAGCTGAAACTTTCATACTTTTTGTGTTCTCATTACACTGCACTGCTGTACAGAAATGAGCAGTTATTTTGTAAATTATGGAGAATTACACTTGTTAACACTGAAGTGTAATTAAGATCTCGTTGTGGAACAATTTTGTACAAGTTTATCTTGGTACCTGTGCAAGTCTCTACTGAAGGCAGTGGGAGGCTGGAAAAGCATTGTGTATACAAAGGAATGTGTGGCATGGGAACTGCAGGGAACTGCTCTAGATTTGAACAAACACATGCAACCATCTTGTATCAGAGCAAATCTTACTGTGCTCCTTATGTGTTGCTTCCAGTTCATATCAGAAGCTGAAAAGCCAAAAATATTTTGCACTGAGTTTCCCAGTAGAGAACAAAGAGAAAGTTTAGAAAATAACCCAAATAATTGTTGCATGAGACTCCTCTGCTGCACAGGCAGTTTGCACTTTAGAGGGGAAGGGTAGAGGGAACTTAATCTCACTTCAGAATCTGTTCAAGTTCCCATTTCTTGATTTACAACCTACTGTATGTGATAATGAAATAGGTAACTGCTGCCACTTTGAGAAGGGAAACACAGAAGCTGTGGAGATTACTCTGTGAACAGGGCAACAAAAAAAAAAAAAAAGACTTTCTCTTTGTCCCAGTTACCAGTATGTCTACCTGGCCTGTCAGGTTGTGCATTAGAATCCACAATATGGCCTGTAACAGAATGTAGCTTATGAAGATAGAAACTGGTGATGTACATTAAAGAGAAGTAGAAAGATTTCACCAAGTTTCTTACTCTCTTCCGACTCCTAGTGTTCCCTTTACCATTTATTACTCATTTTAACTAAATGAAAGAGGCTTTAGTGCCAATTGTAAACCCTTCCATGTGTCCAGGAGCTTTTTAGTCTTGAAGAGCTTGTAAATATGCATGGCAAGGACAAGGTTTGTTCACAGTGTTGAGAAGAAATTTATTTAAAAAAAATCCATTGGCAATCCTAACATGGGAGTGAATGGTTCAGTGCATTTTAAAGCATGTATGAATGTAATTCATGTACTTGTGTCATTACAAAGGTATAGAAAACTTCTCAGAAACTGTATATATTATAGTAAGTTTCTTCAAGGCCACATTCCCAGCTTTCAAAGTTTTACATGGTTAATGTCTCCTGTCCGTAACAAGTGTTGTCATTTGCACAGTACATTTTCTTAAATTTCAAATAGAAGAAGAAGTAAAATAATCAATTTATTGCTATAACTTTTAAAATAAATGAGATGTCGAGTTGGCCAAGCAGCTGATCAGCTTACAGGGTCTGAAGAGTTCAGATATGAAGTCAAATTACAGTACCTCTGGTGGTTTAGTTTTGTTACAGAACTTAAAAAATCCAAAACATGCATTAATACAAAGGCAAAAGAGATCAAAGACAAAAGACTTTATTATTTCCTCTGGCATTGCAATTGGCTTAACTTTCTGTTTAAGTGGTTAAAATCAGTGCTTTGCAAGGTATTGTGGGAGAAATCTTAAACAATTAGTGATACATATATGTACCTCTGCAGTGGAATTGTGTGTATATATGTGTGTGTGTGTGTATGTGTAAGTGCATATACATCAAACAAATTATTCAGAACCCTTCCTATTTATAACATTCCTGCTTTATGCCATTAGTTTTACATTTTAACTCACACACAAAATCCAGATCCTAGTCAAACAAGTCATGAATTGGATATGTCAGTGTATTTGCCATAGCTGCACCCCTGCTGCCACCGTCAGCTAGGAAAGGACTTTTTGTTTCAGGGGGCCCCTGGAGTCCAAAGTGGTCCCAGCCCAGTGCAACAGGACCAGCTCACTCCCCTTGTCCCCATCCTTCACTGTGTTGCGTTTTACTTGTACTGAATTCAAATGTATTGAGCTTTTGTTTTCAGTTCATATTAAAGACTGGTCCAGAAAGTTATTGAATAGGGCTAATCAACTCAAATATTTGTTTTTGAATGAAGCTGCATTTTATTCACTTGGAATTGTTGAACTTTTTTTTTTTTTCCCCAAGAACTTCAGTATCTTTGACAGTATCTGCGTGTATTGATTGTCATTTCTTCCAATTTTGCTTCCTGTATTTTCCTGTTCCATCCACACATTCACAGATACAAAATGGAGAAGAGAAAGAGGGACAAAGCAAGGGTGGGGGGAGTAGTAGGGACGAACACTGCTGAGAACGGAAAGAAAAACTGACACAGATACACCCCAACCAGAAGAATTTCTGTTTTCACAAAGGAACTTGCAGTTCTCTAAAGGCTTGGCAGGAAAACTCTAATCTGCCTAATCAGGTCCTAGTACAATCTATACTTCTCACCACAGACAGTTAAATTTTTAGGTAGATATTAATTTAAAGTAGTATTTTCTTACATTTATTATATGTTCAGTTCCCAATTCCAGATATAAACAGAAATTATAATAAGCCCAAAAATGAGCTACATGGTCACTCTCTAAAGGCAGTGCCTGAATGACAATTTTAAAAGATTGTATCATCACAGCAAGGATATAACAAAATGCTCAGCTTCTCTTAACCCAACAGGAAGATGTGCTACACCTCCTCAGCCAATCAGAAGTACTACAAGCCTCACACCAGGAAACTCTTTAAAGTACAGTATGTGTGAATATTGTAACAGGACTTTCTCATTGCTGCTTTCTTTTTCTCTTCTTTGTGCTTGTAGAGTCGCAAGTCTCGGGTAAGGTTTCTCATGGAGAAATCGGAGTCAGGTGGCAGAGACACAGAGGATGATCTGGCTCACAGTCAACCCCTAAAAATCCCCAAAACAGAAGTTCCTGAAGGAATACAACAGGCACGGAAAGCAGCCCTTGAGAAACTAGCTGCTCAAGAAAATGCAACGTGCACTGAAGGACCCAGTACCTCCTCCAGAACCATTTCTCATAAGCCTTCTTTGGTGGCCAAGCCATTAGCTTGTGAAGAGATAGAGGATAAACAAAAGCAACCACATCTGAATACAGTGGCACAAGTGTTTGGTGTTTATCTTCAACCAGTAAACAGAGAAAACAATGAAAAAACTGAATGCACTAAATTCCCCATCAACACGTGTTACCCAGCAAAAGAAGACCCAAAGCCTCAACATCCAAAACCTGCATGGAACAAGTTCCCCAGCTCTGCACCTCCTGGTAAAGAAAAAAATACTCTGGGAGCAAAACCAAAATCAGATTTGGCATCACAGAAGAGTGAGACAAGAACAGCATCTCCAAAAGTAACTGGAATTAAAGAAAAGTTAATGCCTGCAGCACAAGAAAATGTGCCCAAGCCTTCTCTATTTAAAAAACCTTCTTTTAACACCGAAGTCTCTAACAATAAAGACACTTCCAATAAATGTGATTCTCTTCAAAGTAGACTGGCAGGCCCTAGAACAAATACGCATTCACTTATGAAAGTAAAGGAAATGGGTGAAAATAACTCAGCTGCAGAAGCTGCAGGCAGTCATCTTCCTAAAATAGGTATGAAGCCTGCTGGCCACTCGCAGACCTCACTTCAAGGCACCTTCATAAACGTGAAGCAAGAGACTGAAGAAAAGGCAATGAGTGTTATCAAGACCACCGTTACCAAGAAAGTCATCCAGGAAGGATCAAATTCTCCTCATAAGTTTTGTAAGACCAATACAGCACTTGGTGCAGTAAGGTCATCAGATAAACCACGAAAGAAAGAAGATGGTGCTCCCACACCCAGGCAGAGAGTCTTGGCCCCAGAGTTCAAGACATCCACGTGCCCAGCAAAGCCCAACAGACCTCCAAGTGTGGAACTGCAAGGGTACCAGAGGAGGGCCCCAAAAAAGAGTAAGTCCACTCTGTTCCTGCTTTCTTTAGTGCTGGTGTTTTGAAGCATTTAGTACCAGGTTAATTTTAGACAGAATCTTCTGTTCAGAAATAACATGGCACTTCTGCATCAGACAGCCCGTTAAAACTTTAACTTATGCTTGTGTATAGTTTATGCTTCTGTACAGGACAGAAATTAAAATTATATTCTTTATCCTTCAGCAACTAAAAGCAGTATGAATGCTTTCCATATTGGGTTTATTTTTTTTCAAAACTACTTAGATAAAGCTCAGATAAAAACTTATGTCAGGGAGTATTTTCTCAACAGACATTTAAGTCCTGATTTCCTATAAATGAGGTGTTGATGTCCTGTTCTTGACAGTAACTTCATGGCCACAGCTTGAGGGTCACCAAAGTATTACAGATATATAATATTATATATATTTAACCATAACCCCTAATAACCACACTTTTGTCTTTCCTTCTTGCCTTTCACAATGACTAATCACATCATGAACACTAGAATCTGATGTATTTTAAAGTTTGTTTAGAAAGTTCAACACTATGCAAAATGACAGCATTAAATGTTCTTACATGGAGCTGCAATGATTTTATACCCAGAATTTTTATGAATTTGGACTCCAAAAGCATCTCCCAGACTTAGTGTTTTCTGATAGGTTTGCATGACTTCAGTAGTGTGGCAAGTAGTAGTACCTGAGGCTCTGTCTTCTTATTTTTCTGAAGAACCAAGTCTCTGAATTCTGTGATGGCCATAATTCAGCCGTGAATATTAAGGCTTGTCATTAAGTTTCTGTAACATTTGAGATGGTCTTGCATCTGACAAGAATGTCTGTAAATACATTTGAAATATCTAAGAGGACACAAATCCCTGTTAAAAAAAAAAAAAAGGAAATTGCTGTGACTCCACTTCTGCAAAGAGTACTGCTCCAACAAATTCCTTTCACTGCGTTAGAGAAGCTCAACAACAGTATAAGCTGTCTCTGAGGCACTCAAAATACGGTCTTGAAAAGCTCCCATAAAAATGTGAATTTCTGAAGTCAGACCCACATATCCACTGTCACCTCCTTGAAGGAAAGACCGATTTGCAGAGATTCTGAATGTCTTTGATTTTCCCCTAGATCACCTTTATTTCAAACTTTTGGGCTAGGGTTTTTCCTCAAAAACTTTCAGTCACTCTTTGACAATGCCAGTTGATAAATTTCTAAGTTTTATAGTAGCTGACGGAGGCTCTCTGTTTTCCACTTCTAGCACCAGGTGCTCAAAACTATGAATGCATACAAAATATTGATCACATTTTAAAATCAAAGTTTTAAATTATATGTGTCCCAGGGAGCCTCCCTTTCCATGCACGAGAGAATCAAGGACTTAAATAAAAAATCATTACTGTGTTACATTTTTATTGGATTTTCTTTTTATTTTCTTCTTTTTCCCCCTGAAAGCACTGCTGTCTGTGTAAAGCACAGGAAGCAAAGAATATATTCTATCTTCATATATATTTTTTTAGCTTATATAATTTTAGCCTGTTATGTCCTGTATCTAATGGTGTGCGGTTATACACATTTCACTTCTGTTAGTCTGCATTAACCATTTCTCTTAGATTTAATTCAACAGATCAAACTTTGTTTCTTAAATTTTTGTTGTAGGTAGTGGGAAAGGGAGATGCCCAATGATGGTATTTAGAGCTCCAAAGTAGCTGACAGTGGATGCTCTTAGTAACTCCACGCAGTGCATATAAGGTACATCAGGTACATCCATGTAATTCTGTAGATACATAGTTTGCCCTCATACTTTCTGTCTAGAACACAGTATGACTTGTTCTTCAGCAGCTCTGAATATACATAAGGCTGGTTTTCCTGAGACAGAAGATATGAAAAATCTCAGAGTTGACTTTCTCTAAAGACAAAAATCCTCTCTAAAAACACAGAGTCTGCATGCAACTATATATTGTGTTACTATTATTTCCACTCAGAAATTAGGAATGTCCCAGTAACAAAAAAAAATGTACTTTTTTAGACACAAAGCATTTTTTTCAACCTCTTTTTGAAACTGAAGGTTAGAAATATTTATCCTGTGCATTTCAAATTAACGCTGTGAGCAGGGCTGTAAGAATAGTACCAGAACTTTTGCTAGAAGTGGGGTCTCCAGTTGTCACTAACCAAGAGTTGATACAACCACTAGACTGGATGAATCGCACTGGGAACTAAGGATGGAGCTGCCCAGCATGGTGGCACGGGTTGTTTTCCAAACATGTTGTAAAATGCACACCCAACTAAGTAGAACTAAATGTACACCCAACTAAGAAGAATCAGACATGGTCTTCTCTGTCTCTCAGTCATAGGCTAAGGACAAGACTGAAAGATTTAGAAACAGCATCAGTGAGAAGCTGTTCATAGAGACCCTGAACTTCAGCCTTCCCCCACAGAGCTGGCATGAAGACCCTGATGTTCTTTAATTATTTTTAATTAATGCAGCTCATTTCTTTCTGGCCAGAAGACTACATAGAACAGTTCTGGTGGAGAGCCCAGGTGACCTAGAGTGAAACCTGAACAAATTTCTTTTCAGATCAACAGTTATTCATTGTTGCTGTATTTCTTAGAACATAAATAACAATATTGGAAGAGCAGTTAAACTGAACTGTATTCTTTTCTTTTTTTTTTAACTGTCATTTCAAGAATCAAAGTAATGTCAGGAAGACACCATCCCCACAGCACAGACTCTTCCCGCTCATTACTGTGTCCTGGTAAACAACAGCTTGCCATAGTTGCTTAATTTGCTGCTGTGATTCAGGTGCTGAATAAAAGAAGAATAAGCAAATTGAAATAGTTTTCCCATGCAACAAAACTTTCTGAGATCTAATCTTTGGAGCTTTTGATCTGTATTAGGGCAAAGGCTAGGCTTTGTGTTGTCGTTTGAGAAGAAAAAACCTCTGCATGTGGTGGTTGTTACATTTGTGTTAAGGGTATGTGCCTGCACTGCAGAAAACCATGTATTGCCTGATTTAAAACAGGAGTTTGAATTCTGCTTTCTCAGAAGTATCAATTCACCCCTTTTTCTTTGTTTGTTCTTTTTGCCCATGAAAGATGTTTTAATGGGTTTTGTAAACAAGTATTCATTGGGCATGAATTTTATTAACATTAAATGTTAGATGCTGAAGGACGTACCTTTGACACAGCAGTCTTAGTCACACGTGGGAGAAGAATTTAAGCCATCCACCATGCCTGCTTGAAAACTCAGGGATGCAAGTTTGATGTTGGCATTGTTGTGAATTAGAAATTTTCACCTAGTCCTGAATAAAACTTCTGTAGGTAACAAATGTCTTGTTGAGGAAAGTTTGACTATTGACATGTTACTATTTTTCAGTCAAGTCAGTCTTTAAGAAATTCCTGTTTGGGCCTGTGAATGCATGACGGTCTGGTAAATTCCTCTGTTATGTCCCATTACAGCAATTTTCCCTGAGAGGAGATCATATTTATGTCAGCTAAGAATCAATAATTCTGAACCACACATGTACTCTCTAGTTCAGAAAATAATACCAACTGTACTCTTTTATAATAAACACCCGAGATCTTATTAAAAAGAAGAGAAACAAAGTCATTTTGCTGACAGCTTTCCATGTGAGGTCACAACCATACTGTTGCTAACCAACAATACTGTTCAGAATGGGGTGGCGGTCACTGTATGTAGTGATGTGATGCCTGTGTTTGCCCAGATGAACTGTAACATACCATAAAACCCTGTACAGCTCGTGTCAAAATGATAATTCAGAATAGCATGATAATTATGTGTCTGGACTTTGTTATACATAGATAAAATGTTGAATTTCAAGCACTATCAAAAATGTACTGGAGTTAGAGTATTGATGAGAATTTGAAGATCTGCAAGGCCTTTTACCTGTTCTAATATTACATTTCATGATGTTGACTTCTACTTTTATTGATCCCCCATACATTTAACTGAAAACTATAGAAGTGATGGTCACATAGATCTGCCAAGAACTTAATTTTCCTGAATTTGCTTGAAAACAACTACAAATCTGGACAAGCATTTGTATGTAGTTTTTAGCTATTTAGCATTCCTCTAAGCACATTCCTTTCTCCTTCTCTGAAAGTGAGAGAACCCAAACCATTCCTGTTTCAGCAGCATTATACTGAGAAACAGCACACCTCTCAGAAACAGCAGAGTCAATCTTTGAAGTACCTAGAACTGATGAATGATGCTCAACTGGAATATAGTCAAAGTTGTGCATTTGTCATGAAAATCAGACTGCAGCATATGAAATCCCACACAATGGACATGGTTTAGTACAACTGTAATGACACCACCTGTGTGGGTCTCACTCCAAAGGAGTTTTCTTGCTCATGGGATTGGTATCAGGTCAGTTTCACTCCTTCCTCATTTCAATATCGTTTCTTTGGTCATTTTCCGATAGTTTAACCCGGAAGTTCTGCAAGACCTGCTGAATTAAATTTCTGTCAGTCTTTTGATCACATCTTCATTCTCCAGCTATAATTACATGTACTATAACTACAGCATGTGCATCTAAGACCAGATTTTTCAGTGAGAAAGAACTGGACACATGCTTTCAGTCTACCTCAGTCAGACAGAAAATTTTTCAGAATTTTTAAGGGGCTTCACAAGAACATTAAAGCTATTGAGGAAACCCAGACACTGAAGTTTTTTAAGCAGTGCGTTTCATTGGTCCAGGGTTTAACATGTAATTCTGCTAAAATATGTGGAGAAAACTGTAATTTAAACTGCTACTATGGCTTACAGAACTGAAAAAAATAAATCGCTGCAATTTAAAAATTAATTTAGCCATCCTTGGAATGGATGGAAATATAAATGAGACAGTTATTTATCTGCCCAAGGAAACAGATAAACTTAATATTAGGTATAGATGACATGGATCTTGAGGGAAACCAAAACTGAGTGTTTCCTTGCAGGTGATTTTCTGAGGGTAGCTTGCTGTTGTTGTGCATTAGGAAGCAAAAGTACACAAA